CTTAAAACATCTAGTACAGTAAATAAAATAAGGGCCAATATGCAGATGACATATTTAAACCTTTCGTGTTTTAGTGTTTTGAAGTAGCGTAATGAAACATTTTTCAGCTTAACAACCTTGAACATGCAACTTTTCTGAGCGTCCCCTGACTTCCCATGCTCTGAGTAGGTGTCCTCCTTTGAGGACTATGTATTCAGTAATGAGAATTGTTTTTAATTGGGTTTTAAAGCCAGTACTCAATAGCACCATCTACTGTTATCGTAGTGAAATTTAACGATAGTGGAAAGAATGTTAATAGCCTCAGATCTTCACACCGAAACAAACACAAGAAATATTCTAACCCCAAACTTCTAAGCTCACAGATAAAGAAAGTGAGACTCAGAAAAGATAAGTACCTTGTTGAAAGTCACAGATCATACATCCTGTTGCAAACTAAAATTTCCGTAGGTGCTTTCAAAGCCAGGAAACATGGAAAAGCAATTGATCCTGTTGATTGAGTCTCCAGGATTGAAAACCAGGCTGGCCGAGACCGGTTTGGCTCAGTGGATAGAGCGTCGGCTTGGGGACTGAAGGGTCCCGGGTTCGATTCTGGTCGAGGGCATGTACCTTGGTTGCGGGCATATCCCCAGTAGGGGGTGTGCAAGAGGCAGCTGATCGATGACTCTCTCTCATCGATGTTTCTAACTCTGTATCTCTCTCTCCCTCTCTGTATAAAATCAATAAAATATATTTAAAAAAAAAAAAAAAAAAAAAAAAAAAAGAAAACCAGGCTGGCTGCGCATGGCTCCCGTGCAGACTGCCTTTCCGCAAGTTAACTAATGGCTTTGTGCTTCCATTTCTACGTCTGAAAGTTGGTGATGCGTCCTTTTCAGTGTTTGTGTGAGAAGCAGCAGTAGTGGACACTGTACGTAAAGTACCATGCTTGATATACGGAGGTCAGTAATGGTGACATTATTCTTATTCACAAATTGTGGGAGCCCCTTTCATGTCCCACGTGGTTCAGGGTTCCGGTTCAGGGTTCAGGTTTGGAGAAAGCCGCACACAAATGAAAGAGACTAGAAAAGTATTAATTTGGGAATATTGGGGGCCAGGCGGGAGCCCAACTCTGGTGGGAGGACTCACCTGGCTTTGGCCTTGACATCCCTTTTATTCGGGTTTGGGGTACACCCGTAGCCCTTAGGCAGGTAATTCTAGTAAAGGGCAGATTATCTTATCAGCAAGGACTTAAATGATTATTTGGTGGGGAAGTTGCCTCAGTTACCATTGTCTTAATTAGTTAGGGGAGTGGTTGGCTCTGATCTTTCCGGAGCTTCAAGGCTGACCAGCCTTCCACATCTTTCTAATTAGTGAGACAATGATTGGTTTCCGGCAACAAGTGGTAGAACTGCTTTTAAATCCAGATGCTTCTGATTTCAACGTCTGTGTTTTGTAAAACCGACCACACCAGCCAACAGTCCTATTATAGTACAACATAAATCATGAACATCTGGTAACACAGCGTATAAGCCCATGGACACTCTATAGGATTCTTTGATTTTGGTGAAGAAGAAAGCTGAGCCTCACCTTCAGTACTTGGAAAACAGATCCTTAATTTCTTGTCTTATTTAGTAGAGCAAGTTTCCTTTATTTTATTTTTTTTCAAGCTTCCTTTCTTTTAGTGATAGAATCTGTCCTCTTGCCTATAGGGTGTGCACATGACCAAGGCCTGGCCAATCACAGCACCTAGATTTTCCTGGACACAGAATGGTTCAGAGCACATGTGCTGCGGAAAGAGCCAGTGTCTGGAGGAGTTGGAGAAACGAGAGCAGTGTGATATCTGACCCCATGCAAGTAGTACCTTCCGCAGGGTACCTCCTTAATACAGTGTGCTGGGGCCCCGGACCGTTATCCCATATTCCTTTTCCTCCTCTTCATTAGCAACAGAACCTCCGAACCTATGTTTTCCAAGTCTCCTTTGGAGATAGGTGTGACCAGCACACTCCCTGGAGCCAGTGGGATGTGAAATTGTTGAATGCCATTTCTCCCGTTTGAGGTCACACCATCAGTCCACGTTTCCCAATGTGTCAGTGGTTCAGCTTTAACCTTTTAAGAGAGCAATACGGACCTGAGGAAACGGACACTTTAGATTAACTGGGAAATAGATTTTGACAGTGAATCACTCACTGGAAACCCTGCGTGTGAACATGCTGGGAGCTGTAGAATCAAAGCGGAAGACCATGTAAGCTCAGCCCTAGGAAAGGAGTGAAGTGCTGATTCATACTGCAACATGGTGGAACCTTGGACACGATAAGGTTCAAACACAAAGTCACAGATTATATGACTCTATGTACAGGAAATGCACAGAAGAAGTAAATCTACAGACAGGAGATTGGTGATTGTCAGGGGCTAGAAGCTGCGTGGGGTGAAGGGTCATGGGCATCAGGTTTCTCTGGTGGTGATGAAAATGTTCCGGAATTAGACAGTAGTCATGGTTGTACAACTTTCTGACTGTACTAGAAACCACTGGATTGCATACTATGAAGGGGTGAATTTTATGATATGTGAATTGTATTTCTAGAAAATAAATGTAAGCTAAGTTGCCCTTGAAAATCTTTCTTAAAGAGTGTAATACAGCTTGTTTTATCTTTTGTGTAAAAAATAAATTGCCTTTTTAATTTTTGAATTGAGTACCAGATAAAATAGTGTGCTTGCATTTAGGAACTCTGTTTCCAAAAATATATGTCTTTTAACTCATCATATTCAATTGTATGAGATTCTTACATTATAAAATGCAAGGGAATGACATCAGAGGTATTCAAAAGGGAACACATGTACTCCTGGGGACATGAGAAAAATTTCCAAGAGGTGATCTAACACAGATAGTTTCAAGAAAATAAATTTCACTGAAACCAGTTTGGCTCAGTGGATAGAACATCAGCCCGTGGACTGAAAGGTCCCAGGTTCAATTCTGGTCAAGGGTATGTACTTTGGTTGAGGGCACATCCCCAGTGGGAGTGTGTACAAGAGGCAGCTGATGTATGATTCTCTCTCATAGATATTTCTAACTCTCCCTCTCTCTCCCTCTCTGTAAAAAAAATCAATAAAATATATTTATAAAAAAATAAATTTCCATATCCTCAACGTGCAGGTATTGACCTTTCCGTAGTTGACCTGTGGCCAGAGCTGCCACGTCATTATGTCCTACAGTCCTTTCCCACCTCCCATTCCTGTTTACAGAAGGAAGTCCTGCATCTCACCTGTCGTAAGTTCCTACCACAGCATACACCTCACGGTGCCAAACAGCCCGACAATTCGGATGACAGAGGGTGGGGAAACCTCCTTTATATCAAGGCACCATAAACCGTGATAGCACATTGCATTTTCCCTCGCCTTTATACTCTGGGCATGCGATTCGGAAGCCATTCAGACAACTGAGGAACGCGATGGCAAAATCACCCCGCTCCCTAGAGTGTTAACTAAACATTTTTATTGGTAGCTCATCTCATGGTGAAATCGTGCAACATGTAACGAACCCAAGGCACTCATATTTCAGTGCAAAAATAATTAAAATTTAAAAGCAATCAAAGTTACATTATAAAATTTCCAAAAGCCTCCTGATATTTAAATTAAAAAGGGGGGAGGGATAGTAGAAGAACATCATGTGAGGAAGGAAAAATACCCTTCTGACTACTTAGAGGAACAATCTACACCAAGGAAAGCTTAGGGATAGACCCCACCACTCCATCAGGACTGGCTTCCTGCACCCCATCGCTCGGAAGTGAAGCCCGGACGGAGCAGTGGGGGACGAGGCAGCTGCAGACCACCGACCCGGACCTGGGCAGGCGCACCCTCTCCCTGGTACCCGCAGCGGGGGCGCCGGGGGAGGGGGCCCCCACGCCCGTTCATGGCGGGGCACGCGGGGGCCCGTTTCCGTCCTCGGGGGGAGCTCACGCTCGTGGCAGCGTGTTTCTGCACGGCAGTCTGGCCCAACCGGTGCGGCGCAGTGGATAGAGCATCAGCCTGCGGACTGAAAGGTCCCAGGTTCGATTCCGGTCAAGGGCATGGACCCGGGTTGCCAGCACATCCCCAGTGGGGCGTGTGCAGGAGGCAGCTGATGGCTGTGTCTCTCCGGTTGGCGTTTCTCTCTTTCCCTCTCCCTTCCTCTCTGAAAAAAAATCAATAAAATAAATTAAAAAACCAAAAAAACAAAAGGCAGGCTGTGTCCAAACAGAGGACCCCGCAGCCCCCGCTGGTGTGAGTGTGGGGGTGCGGGGAGCAGGGAGGGAGGGAGGGAGGCAGGGAGGCAGGGCGGCACCCAGGCCAGGGAGCAGGTGCCCGGGCCGCGGCTCCGGGAGCGGGGCGGGGCGCGCACGCAGGGCGCCGTTTACCTGGCTTCCCGGAGGGCCTCTGGGTCCCGCCGAGGCCGGGGGCGGGGGGCGAGGGCGCCGGTGCCCCTCGGTCAGCGCCGATCTCAGCGCCGGGCCGCCCGGGGGTCCCCGCCCCGCGCCGGGCTCCGGGGACACCCACCGGGTTCAGCTGACAGAGCGCCGAGCCCCGCCCTCCCCGCCCTCCCCGCCCCCACGCCCGTAGCCCCGCCCCCAGAGCCGCCCAGCGGGGCGGGTTCCCGACGCCACACGACTTCCGGCGCCGGCGTCCAATCGGCTTCCGCCGCTCTCCACTTCCGGCTCCTCCGCCCTGTCCCCGCCCCGCTTGCCTCCTTTCACGCCGTCACGTGAGAGGCGAGCGCGGGGGCCGTCGGGACTCGTTCTGCCGGTGGGTCAGGGTTCGGCCTCAACATGGCGGCTCCGGCGGGGCCGTGACCGAGGCTCGGCTGTCGGAAGGAGTCCCCGGGGCCGGTCGCGCGTCCGCCTCATGGGCGGGACGTGAGCCGCCGCGGCGAGCGCGGAGGGGCGGCGGCGCCGGGCGGGGCCGGCGGCGGCGGATCGGTGCGTGGCGCGGGGCCCAGGCTCCCTGCGGGCCCGCGGGGAGAGGCGGCGGCGGCGGCGGCGGCGGCGGGAGCGATGGCCCAGTGCGTGCAGTCGGTGCACGAGCTCATCCCGGACTCCTTCGTGCCCTGCGTGGCCGCGCTCTGCAGCGACGACGCCGAGCGCCTCGCCCGCCGCAACCACCTGAGCTTCGCCGAGCTGCTGAGACCCTTCACCCGCCTCACCTCCGAGGGTACGTGCCCGGGCGGCGGCGGCGGCGGGGCCGGGCTTACCTCCCGGGGCGGCGGCGCGGGGCTGCCCGGACCGCGGCGCCGACCCCGGTCCCCCGGCGCCTCCCGCCGCCGCACCTGCCGCCGGCGGGGCGGTTTCTGGGAGGAGGCGGGGCGGGAGGAGGGGAGGGGCGGGGGGAGCTGTCAGGCCGCGGGGCCGCGGGGTCCCGGAGAGAAGCCCCCGGAGAGAAGCCGAATCATCACCCCCCTTCCCCCCGGCTGTCAAACTGGCCGTGGGGGTTGTTTTGGAACAGCTTTCTAAGCTCCTGTTTCGCAATTTTAATTTTTCTTTTTTGAAAATGTAAACTGTTTTTGAATATCTCTACATCATTTCTTTTTTTTTTTTTTTTTTTTTTTTGCTTCTCAAGGAGATGAAAATGTTTTGTGGAAATAATAAAGCCTGGAACAGCCTCTGCCTAACGGACGAGGGAGGAAGAACAGATTGTTGGTGTATAGGGAAGGAGAAGTCCTAAAATGTGGCATTTCAGCTAGAAACTAAATCGTTAGTAGGAAGGCGTCTTTTATGGGTTTCACGGCTTTAGAGTTTATTAGGAAAGAAACCCACGGGTCTCCCAGAGCGCCAGGTATGGTTTAACCCAGGGCCTCGAGCTGTGCTTTGCAAAAGGAACGCAGCAAAGTCTCTAAAACGAAGGCTTCACTCAGGACAGCTGTGCTGCCCTGTGGGGCTTAATCACAGGCCAGCCACAGCCTGCAATCATTGCAGTCAGCCGGTCTGGCTCAGTGGGGAGAGTGTTGGCCTACGAACTCAAAGGTCCCAGGTTCCATTCCGCTCCAAGGGCACATGCCCGGGTTGTGGGCTCGATCCCCAGTGAGGGATTTGCTGGAGGCAGCCGGCTGCTGAGACCATGATTCTCTCATCCTGGATGTTTCTCTCCCCCCCCCCCCCTCTCTTTCTATACACACACACACACACACATATATATATATATATATATATATATATATATATATCCCTCTGAAATCAGAAGTATATTTAAAAAAATACGGCTGTGTCAAGTGAACGGCTCTGATGAGGATTGGGTTCTGTGACTTGTGCACAGAAACGTTCTGTGCCGCAGACTCATGCGCGCACATGCCACAGGTGTGCTCCTTCCTAGGCTCCCTGCGGGGCTGACAGGAGAGGAAGGGGCCCAGGACACAGGGTTTTCTTCGGTCCATGCCCTAGTATTGCACTAAGTCAACAAGAACAGCTGAGTGCCCTACATTCCTCAATTCTCTGCGAGACATGCTCTCCTGCTTTGTTAATAAGTAATAATGCCAATACCTGATACCTGTGTTCCATAGCTTTTCCCTTGTGGTCCTGACTGAGTTTTGTGAGGTAGACGCTATTATGGTCACTGTATGTTGGAGGACACTGAGGCAGGGAGTTACGTGTCCAGCTTACATGTGGGAGAGATGTAAACACAGGCCCTGAGACCTCAGGACAGGTACTAATCAGATCCTCTTATCTCCTGGCAGTATTCAGGATTACTTATTCACCCTGGGCAGCAACACTAGCCAATAGAAATATAATGTGAGTCACATATATAATGTAGAGTTAGTGTTCACATTATAAAAAAGTGAAAAGAAACCAGTGAAATTAGTTTTAATGACTGATATGTATATTATTTAACCCAGTATTCCCAAAATGTTATTTCAATATATAGTCAATATTAAAAGATCATTTAAAAAAAATCCTCACTTTAGGATATGGTGTTTTGTGTGTTATTTTTTGTTTTGTTTTGAAGATAGGTTTTTATTCATTTGAGCGAGAGGAAGGGGAAGAGAAAGGAGAGCGAGAGAAAAAGCAAAACATCCATTGGTTGCTTCTGGCAGGTGCCCAGACCTGGGTTGGAACCCACAACCTGGGTATGTGCCCTGATTGGGAATTGAACCGGTCACCTTTTGGTGTATGGGGACTACACTCCATCCCGTTGAGCCACACTGGTATGGGTTAAAAATATTCTTTGAGGGGCTGGGCGGAGTGGGGCAAAGGAGGGGGAAATGGTGGACATCTGTCAGCAATAAATAAAAAAAGCAACCAGTGAATGCATAGAAAAATCTAATGATTTAATTTTTATCTGTAAACCAAATTTTAGGACTTTGCCTTCTCTATAAATCTAGATGACCCCACCTAGGTTAAATTAAAAACTTGTTCTTACTCCCTGACCTGTTAGGCAAAGGCAGTTTCAAGTTTTATTATTTCCATAATACCTTTTTCTTAGATATATACTATTTTTTATTTCCCAAATTTATTTGAACATGGGATCAATTTTTCAGAAACAAGCTCTTAACTTTCTTGAAGAAGCAGTATTCCATGGATTAGCATATACTGAGAAATATTACTTCATAATACAGTATTCAAGATGCTATCTGGTAACCTATAAAATTAAAATGGTAGATTTGAATTTCATTTATCCTTCATATACCCTCTTACACACCCTTTTCCCCTTTTCCGGAAATCACCACACTGTTGAATATAATTTTGAAACAGATGTTATTTGATATACTAGTGATCTGGTACCTGGATTTGTGCACATTGAAAGGAAATTAATCAGCTTAACAATGACCCACAACCTTCGGACCAAGGTAGCTGGCGGGGTGTGGCTGAGTGAGATGGATTGGACACCCCTGGAGCCATCCTCCCGTGGTCTGGGGCGTGGGGAGTGAGTGGGGTCCCTCTGGCAGGTGGGGTCCCTTTGCCTGGCCTGCAGGGATCTGGTTGAAACCAGCTCTCCGAGGGTCCTGGAGTGCGAGAGGGCACACTGCAGAGTTCTGCGCTGCCAAGTCACTGCAGCTCCTGCGTTGAGCATCTCACCCCTGGTGGTCAGTGTGTGCAATAAGTACTGGACAGTTGAATGGTTGCTTAGCCTTTCATATATGTGTATATATATATATATATATATATATATATATATATATATATACACACACACACACATACACACACACACACACACACACACACACACACACACTAGAGGCCCAGTGCACGAAATTCGTGTATTTGGGAGGGGGGGTCACTCAGCCCAGCCTGTGCCCTCTCACAGTCTGGGACCCCTTGGGAGGTGCCATCCGCTGTCTTAAGCCTGATCCCTGGGGGATTGGGCCTAAGCCGGCAGTCAGACATCCCTCTGGCACCTGGCAGCCTTCGGGGGCGGGGGGATGTCCACAGTCGGACATCCTTAGCGCTGCGGAGGCAGGACAGGCTCCCGTCACTGTCCCTGCGCTCAGCCATCAGCCCAGCTTGTGGCTGAGCCGAGCCCCCCCTGTGGGAGGCACTGACCACCAGTGGGCAGCTCCTGCATTGAGTGCCCCTTGGTGGTCAGTGCACATCATAGCGACTGTTAGGGTCAATTTGTATATTACCCTCTTTGTTATATAGGATTATTATATAGGATATATATTTACAGATAGTCTTTGTATAGTTATAATCTTAACGAAGCCTTAATATAATTTAGTTCTGAAGCTTTTGAATTTAAGAGCATTTTTCTTAATAATAATTAGCTCTTATATTGTGATATTCCTGTTTCTGTTATCATTTAACAAATGACCCCCAAACTTAGTACCTTAGAAACAAAAGCATTTATTGTTTCTCAGGAGTCTGGGAGTGGCTTAGCTGGATGCTTTTGGCTCAGGGTCTCTTGAAGTTGCAAGTGGAACTGTCAGCAAGAACTGCAGTCATCTGGGGCTTGAGGATCCTCTTCCAAGCTCACTCATGGTTGCTGGCAAATCTCACTTCCTCACGACACTGGCCTGGACCCAGTCTGTGCCACGTGGGCCTGCCCAGAGGCTCCCTGAGTGCCCCGGGGCATGGCAGCTGGCTTCCTCCGGAGGGCTGACCAGAGAGAGGACCCAGGGTAGAGCTGTACTCTTACAACCTGATCTCGGGAGTGCTGTACCATTGCTTTTGCTGTGTTCTGTTGGTCACACATAGCAACCCTAGGATGTGGGAGTGTGTGTAACAGGAAATAGCAGGATCATTGGGGCCATTTCAGAGACTGGCTGCCACACCTGTTAACTCAATTCTGGAACATTATTAGGGTTGCCTAACTGATAGGCCCGCTCTGAATATAGTGCAAAACTAGAATATCCTTTTTGTGTTAATATTTACGAATACTAAAAGATATCTGGCCAATTTAAAACTGCGAGATTAGCCGAAACCGGTGTGGCTCAGTGGTAGAGCGTCGGTCTGTGGACTGAAAGATGTCAGGTTCGATTCCGGTCAAGGGCATGTACATTGGTTGCGGGCACATTCCCCGGTAGTGGGTGTGCAAGAGGCAGCTGGTTGATGTTTCTATCTCAATGTTTCTAGCTCTCTCTCTCCCTTCCTCTCTGTAAAATATCAATAAAACATATTAAAAAAATAAATAAATAAAACTGCGAGATTATATATATTGGTTTGAGAGAGGAAAGGAGAGAGATAAGAACATCAGTGATGAGGGAGAATCATTGATTGCTGCTTCCTGCATGCCCCCTACTCAGAATCTATCTGGGTCGGACTCCTGGTTATACGCTCCACACTCAACCACTGAGCCACACTGGCCAGGCTTGAGAGAGGTTTAGCACACACGGCTACCTCCTCAAGTCACTCAACAATTATAAACTAACTTTAAGAAAAATACTTGTTTCTAAAAACGTCAGAAATGTACCATAATATTGTCTTGTTTTTTTGGTTTCTCTGTTTCATAGACTAGCTGGAAAGTTTAATTAGGGAGAGAGCTGTGTGTGTGTTTAAGTTAGAAAAAATAAACGATTACAGAAGAATGCAGAGAATACAAGAAACATCCACCTTCCCACTACCCAGTACCAACAAATATTAACCTTCTTGTCATAGTTCCTTTGTGTCATCTTCTTTCCTTTGAGAAGAAACCAAACCGTGATACCCTTGAAGGCACCTTTAAACCTTCCCTTGGTCTCACTTCTTTCCTTCACAGGCAATTATTATAATGGAACTTGCATGTATTTTATTTGTACTTTTGTGTATATATTTATAATACAAGTGCACATATTCCATATAGTTTTTATAAACTTTTTTTTTTAAATTAAAAGCTTAGAAATCAACAAAGGTTCACAGGAAATTTAGGAAGACAGTTTTTACAGATGTAACCTTATTTAAAATATAGGCAGGCCTGAAATTAAAAGTTTAGGATAAAGCATTTTCTATTGGGAATAAAAGTCATTTTTTTATGGGTAGGTATCCAAAGCCAGTTTTCCAGAGTTGCCTCTTATTTGTGTACAATGATTCATGATGTTCTTATAATAGTGTGTTACACCTGCCACCTCCATCACCTATTGAGAACTTCACTACATGATTATGTATGTGCCAGGCATGGGGCTCAGTGCTTTACATTTACTCTCTCACCCAACAATGTCCCACATTCATTTTTTAAGTAACCCTGTGAAGTAGGTTTTAATCACATGTTACAGATGACAAAATTGAAGAACAGAAAAGTTAAAAGGTTATTTAGGGTAACCCGGTTAATAAGTGGTGGGTTGGGATTTAAAATAAAGTGTGATTCCAGCTCTAGTTGATTTGGCTCAGTGGATAGAGCATCAGCCTCCGACTCAAGGGTCCTGGGTTTGATTCTGGTCAAGGACACATGCCCGGTTATGGGCTCAGGAGGTAGCAGATCAATGATTCTCATTATTAATGTTTCTCTCCCCCTCCCTCCCTCTCTCCCTCCCTCCCTCCCTCCCTCCCTCCCTCCCTCCCTCTCTCTCTCTCTCTCTCTCTCTCTCTCTCTGTTTCTCCCCCCTCTCTGAAATAAATAAAAATATATTTTCTAAAAGAAAAAAAGCCTGACTTCAAAAATTGGAGCTTAATATAATGCTCTAGTACTACTCTGGAAACTGCTTGAGTATATTTTATGAAAAGATATGCTCACATTTCGTACTGTGCACTATGGATACTGTCTGGTATAATCTCCTAAGAGCCTACGTCTTGGCCTGGCGCTCTGAGCCACTGGTTATAAATCCCATGGACTTGAGGCAAGACCTGTAACAGGGTAGCGGCAAGAGAGATTGGGGATGGGAAGAGGGATTTGAGTGTTGATTTTTTAAAATAGGCTTTATTTTTTAGAACAGTTTTTGGTTCACAGCAAAATTGAGCAGAAAGAATAGCGTTTCCGTATACCTTCTGTTCCAGTACCTTCCCACTGCCAGCATCTGGGATTTTTATGATGGTACAGTAGTGGCGGAGAATGCAGGCAGCACACTCGGGGGAGCAGAGGAATCCCCAGGGTATCATTTAGTTCTCCTCACTATTTTCAGTGTTGGTACCACAGACTTCACACTGCTCTGGACAGCCTTCATGTGAGGGGTGGTATGTGTGGTGGTTGGTCCTTGGCAACTCCAAACAGGAAGAGGGAAAATACATAGTGTAGGGACATGAGCAGAGCATTGCGAGGGAAGGCTGGACTGTCCGGCTAGCCCTTTTGGTTATAAGGGGATGTTGTCAGTTGTATTTATGGAAGGCTGTTCCACTAGGACTTTCTGGTTTCTGATTTGATCATCTTTTTTGTTTGTAAACATTAACCCAACATTTTATTGTTACAGTTGGTTTGTTATGAATTGTGTAGAATTAATTTCATGTTTTTTTCTCTCCTAAAGTTCATATGAGAGATCCTAATAATCAGCTTCACATAATAAAAAATCTGAAGATAGCAGTAAGCAACATTATCACCCAACCGCCTCAGCCTGGAGCCATTCGGAAACTTTTGAGTGACGTCGTTTCTAGCTGTCAGCCTGCGGATGGACTAGTAGCTAATGTGATTACGGCAGGAGACTATGATCTCAACATCAGTGGTATGTAATAAGGTTTATTATTTCTAAAAGGAATTGATCTTTTTTTAGAAAAAGTAATTCTGTAACTTGGAAATCACTTAACACTTAAGTGCTTAGTGATAGATCTAGAATACAATGTTGAAAATATTTGTAAAGTTATTTTGTTTAAATGTTCATAATTTTTCTTCTGTGTTAATTTAATTAGAGCAAGATAAGTTAACTTGATGATTTCAAGTTTAGAATATTATGATTATCTTTCCACATCAAAAAATCTCCTTCCTGAAGTCTTATACTTCATGGGGAATGATACCCTTCAGTGGGAGAGAGATTTGGTAGGCAAAAAAAATCTAGATATTACAATGGTTTGTGGCTCTCCAAAGGCCTGTGCTACATAACTGGACACATAGTATGTCTGTGGTATTATGTAAAAGTATTTTTTTGGGGAAGGACCAGTTAGGAAAGAAAAAGGCTCATGGGGAAGATAATGAAATAAAAAGTTGCAAAACACCATTCTTCTCCATTTTGAACTGGTTACTGTCCAAGGCCTGCTCCACAACTGTCATCCCTGGGGTTTCCTTCCCTTCCCTTCTCTGTAGTCTCTCATTCATATCTCTTGGGGCATATTTCCTGTGCTTTCCTAAGAAACTCTGCTGGGAAGGTACATTTTTTTGAGAAACCAATGTCTGAAAAATTGTTTTCTTTTATGCTTGTTTTCTTATATACTTGACTATATATATATATATATATATATATATATATATATATACACACACACATATATATATATATATATTCTAAGTTAGAAACAATTTCTCACAGAATTGTTTCACTTCTTGTAACTTCTAATATTGTAAAGGAACTGTAATACATTATGATATTTCTCCCCCTATTCCCTTCAACTTTTAGAAGCTCTTCCACTTATTTGGAAATTTCATGTTGGACCTGATTTAACTCCTTTTTTACTCATTGTATTGTGTAGCTCCTTTTGATAATCTGGTCATGCATAATCTTTAATCCTGAGAAATTTCTTGTGTGTTTTCTTCTTTGTTAATTTCTTCTCCGTTGTTTTCTTTGCTCTTTCTGGAATGACTGCTGTTAGCTGGATGTAGGGCTTCCTGAGTTACTCCTCTGATGTTTTCATCTTTCTTCTAATATTGTCCGTCTCCATCTCTTAGGTCTTTTTGTTTTACTTTCTGGGGGATACTCTTGACTTTATTTTCTATCTTCTATTGAAATTTTAATATTCTCTTGCTCTCGATTTTTCTTTAAAGAAAAAACACATTTTTATTGATTTCAGAGAGGAAGGGAGAGAACGAGAGCGAGAGCGAGAGCGAGAGCGAGCGAGAGAGAGAGAGAGAGAGAGAGAGAGAGAGAATCATTGATGAGAGAGAATCATTGATTGGCTGCCTCATGCATGCCCCCCCACTGGGGATTGAGCCTGCAATCTGGACGTGTGTCCTCTCTAGGAACCTTTGAACTATGACCTCCTTGTTCAGAGGTCAACGCTCAACCACTGAACCACTTCGGCTGGGCTGATTTTTATTTTTGTAGCATGTAGTTCTTTTTCCTATTGTGGTAACTTAATTCTGAGAATATTAATAAATTGTTAAGTTTTCTTCTTTTATGATTTTTCTCTCATTTGTATTATTTCCCAGTTTGTCTCGGTCTCTCTTTGATATTGGAATCTGGCTTCACATGTCTGTTGAGCCCTTGGCATTATTTTCTCTTTCTAATTGAGGCATTAAAACCCTGACTGGGCATAACAAGACTTGTCTTCTCTGTTGAGTAGTGAGACTGTAATAGGCTTGAATGTTACCCTTCTTTTATTACTTACAGTTCTTTCATATGGGGTCATTTAGTTTCTCAAGAGTAAGTTTCTCAAATCTGATGTCTAACTGCTGGGGTAGGCTTACTATTTTTTTAAATGATGTATTAAAGTGGTTTGGTAGATAGTTTATAGGAACAATATGGTCATGATTTGGTTGTGAGAAATTATTTTATCTAGCTGACTGGCATGGCTCAGTGGTTTTGAGTGTTGACCTGTGAACCGGGAGGTCATAGTTCAAAATCCCTGATCTGGGCTCCATCCCCAGTGGGGACATGCAGGAAGCAGCCAATCAATGATTCTCTCCCATTATTTGATCTCTCTCTCTTTTTCTCTATCCCCCTCCCCTCTCCCTTCCTCTCTGAAATCAATAAAAATATATTTTACAAAATGTCCTGTATATTAATATTCATTAATATAATAACAATTGCAAAATATTAGTTTAAAAATTTATTTTATCCAGGTAAATTACTTATATCCTCAGGCCCCTGCTAACACTCCACCTATGGAGGGATTGAGTGCTGTTTGTCTTTAAGCACGGGTGCAGGCACTGCTTTATACCTGATCCTTAGGCAGATTTAAAAAGAACCCTCCGCGGCTTGGATAAGCCACGTTGCCGAAGAAAACGGCCTCTTGAGCTTCTCTCCCTGCTCTGCTTTAAGACCTCCCCTTGTGGTCTTAAGACTGGGAATGGGATACGCCGAGGCACTGAATGCGTCATAATAAAATCCCCTTGTAACAGTGGTACTCCAGAGAGAGATGAGTGGTTTTTACCATTTCAAATAAGATATTCTCTGTCTGGAAAAATACTTCTAATTTTTGCCATGAACGTGAGACAGCATACTTTTTACCCATTCTATTTAAGAAATACATGTTATATCTTTACCTCATAAGACTACCTTATCAGTGCCATGTTTTCTTTATCAGATCGGTCAATAAAAGCTAGTGTTCCTTGGTACAGTAATTGGAAAGACACATTGATGGAAATGAAAGAATCCTCATTAAATACAGGTATTTTCTCTGTTGGTCTGAGTTTTCCAGATTATTCTCACTCTACTCCTGCCTATTATTTTTTTCTACTCAGCTACTTTAAAAAAAAATTTGTCCCAATTAACATGTCTGTCTAATTTTTCTAAAACAGAGACAGTTTGATGATGTTTGTGCAATTTACGTTATCGATCCTATCATCTGTTGTTTATTGTTTACTCTTGATTTACGTTATCTTCTAAATCCAGGTATTGTTTCAGAATAGTATAATTTGGGTTACACCTTGTTTTGATAAGGAAAATGTCTTTTCTTTTTTCTCTGAAGAGTAATCATGTGTAAACAGTATTTTAGAGGATTGTTTAAATATTCAATATTTTTTCCTAAATTTTTATGTAAGAATAAAAAGCATAAAGAATGCTTTTAAAATATGTCTAGTGCAATATAAGAACTTAGTATTCTTATTTTTCCATTATCTTAAAAGTTTTTTTTTTTTTTTAATCAATCTTTATTGTTCATATTATTACAAAGGTTCCTCATTTCTTCCCCCCTCCACCAGGTTCCCACCCCACCCTCCGCCCCCTCCTTACCCCCCATTGTCCTCATCCATAGATGCACAGCTTACTTTCAGTCTCTTCCCCCCTCCACCACCCCTGCTTTCCCCGAGAACAGTTAGTCCACTCCCCTCTCCTATCTCCGACTCTACTATTATCATTCCTATTATATCATCCTTCAGTTTTAAATTTTGTGGTGCCCATAGTATATTGTATCTTTTTTTTCTTCATTTTTAGACAGTTTGACCTTTATTGATTTTTTTAAATTAAATTATTATCTGTGTACATATTTTAACATTGCCCCCCCTCCTATATATACCCTCCCTCCCCAGAGTTTTGTGTCCATTGGTTGTACTTATATGCATGTATACAAGTCCTTCGGTTGATCTCTTATCTCCCCCAGATCTCCCTACCCTTCCGGATGTAATTAGACAGTCTTCTTGTTGCTATACTGTCTTTATATCTAACTTTTGGTTAATCAGTTTATAATGTTCTTTAATATCCATAAATGAGTGAGGTCATGTGGTATTTCTCTTTCTTTGACTGGCTTATTTCACTCAGCATGATGTTCTCTAGTTCTATCCAGGTTGCTGCAAATGATGAGAATTCCTTCTTTTTTATGGCAGCATAGTATTCCATTGTGTAGATGTACCATAGGTTTTTGATCCAATCATCTGCTGACGGGCATCTAGGCTGTTTCCAGATTCTAGCTATTGTAGATTGTGCTGCTATGAACATAGGGGTGCAAATATCCTTTCTGTTTGGTGTTTCTACTTTCTTGGGATATATTCGTAGAAGTGGGATTACTGGGTCAAATGGGAGTTCCATTTTCAGTTTTTTGAGGAAACTCTACACTGTTCTCCACAGTGGTTGCACCAGTCTGCATTCCCACCAGCAGTGCACGAGGGTTCCTTTTTTTCTCCGCTACCTCACCAACACTTGTCGTTTGTTGATTTGTTGATGCTGGCCATTCTGACAGGTGTGAGATGGTACCGCATATATTGTATCTTATTGGACACTCCAATGTCGATTTTATCGGTGTCCTTTTGAAATGTTTTATCCAAGAATAACCCGTTTCTTCTAGTAGCTTTCCCCTTTGTTGTGATCTGTCATTCTAGACCAGTTGCATTCTTCTAGTTTTTGCTAATTCATGGTTTTCCGCTTAAAGGTTAAAGTAGGTCAGGAAAAAGGAAGCATATTGGAAACATCTGAAAGTTTTGGGTTGTGTAGGAGATACTGTTCAACAGTTGTCTCAGAGCATTTTCTTTCAAGAAGTTATAAAGGAAGAACGAAGACATGTTTGTAGCCATTACCTTTGTTTTCATTTTTTCCCTTTGAATGCAGATAAGTATTGAGAACTTTTCATTTTTAGTCCATAGTGGCAGAGAAAGTAAATTTGACAGTGGAAGGCACAATTTTTCACAATTAGCCAAATCAGTGTATCAGCATTCTGGACGAGCACTGTCCAGTAGAAATTGGTGAGCCACTTGTATTGTTTTTAATGTTCTCTAGCTACAAGAAAGAAAGTAAAGACCACGTGAAGCCCTGGCCAGTGTGGCTCGGTTGGGCACCATCCCATTTACCCAGGGCTCTCCGGTCAGTTCCCGGGCAGGCACAGGCCCGGCTGTGGGCTTGATCCCTGGCTGGGGTGTGCAGGAGGCAGCTGATCAGTGTTTCACTCTCACCATCAATGTGTGTTTCTCCCTCTCCCTTCTCTCTCTAAAAATCAATAAAAAAAAAAACAATCTTAAAACAGGTGAAATTAATTTTAATACTATATTTTTCTTAATTCAGACTATACAAAATATTATGTCTATGTGTAATTGGAAATTTTACTTTTTTGGTACTGCCTTTGAAATCTATATCACATCTTAATTCAGACAAGCTACATTTCAAGTGCTTGCTAGCCACATGTTGCTAGTGGCTAACTACTTATTGGACAGCCCTGCAAAATATTATTTTTTTGCTGTGTCTTTATTCTGTAAATAATTTGTAAAGTGAATTAAAAATACAGTAAAATATCAAGGGTCGGTTAGATCCAGTCAGTAAATGGCAATGACTATTTTTTCCTGATATACTGAGAACCAAAAGGAGTATAGTTGAGTAGAGGACTATTTTTAAAAGATCTTCCACTGTGGTGTCTACTTTGATTTTTCTGAAAATACTTAATTAGAAATAGTCTCCTTAAGAATAGTTCTCGTGGGAATTGGTAAGGTATGTACACATATAATACCTTAATAAAAAAAATGAGGGAAAAAAATGAAAAAGAATAGTTCTCATGGATGTTGTGAAAATATAAGGTTAGTATTTCTTAGTTTTTAATATTATTTAAAACCTTTCATAATTTGCAAAATGCTCATAAGTTTTGAATTTTGGTTTCAGTTTTTTGTGGCTTTTATATTAAGATTCTCTGTTATTAATCAGTATGTTCTGATAATCATGGAGTTTAATGTCAAATATTCTTTATTTTGAGGCTATACATTTATGTAATTAAGTATTTTACATTTTATTATTTAATTCCTTTTCTTTACTAGGATATTTTCTGAATATATACTAATACAGGGTAGAGCAAAAGTAGGTTTACAGTTGTTCATATGGAAAATAATTAACTGCTTTATCACCTAAATAAGAGGTTTAGAATATTTATGTAATGTTCTAAATATATTTAAAAAAATAAAAAAATAAATCCTCTGTCATTTCAAAGAAAATAACAATAAATAATACTATAAGAATAAACTGTGTTTTGTGTACTCACAGCTGTAAACCTACTTTTGTTCCACCCTGCATTTAGTTTTGGCATGTCTACTACTGTTTATCTAAAGTTGCATAGTCATAAATGCCAACATATTTATAATATGTTAGTATTTCTTAGTTTGGCAGTATGTTTTCTGTACTTTCAGCTTCGTAAATGATTAGGAAGGGTAAATACGTGATTTACAGGTGATGCTTGTATTTAGGATGTTCAGTCTTTTTCACCTGCAGATTTGGGGTCATTAAATAATTTTGGTTGCAGTGGGATGCGGACCCACGTTGCTCTAGGTCTAATTCACCGCTGTAGCCTTTGTTAGACATTTGTTGGGAATATAATAACTTCGTGTCCCAAATCACTGACACTGAAAAGGGAGCAAAGAGGATGGCTGGGAGTTGGACCATCATGTTGTTTTTTAAAAGGCCCTTCGCTGCCTTCCTTAACCTTCCTTACCAAGACAGAATGCGTTCTGCATAGAGAAACTGGTAGGATCACATGGTTGCTCTTCAAATTCCAAAGAAAGAACACTCAGAGGAGGAAGTGGTATGGGCAGAGTAATTTCAACCTCAAATAAGTATAAGAGACTTTATAAAGGGAGAGAATTGTCACTAAATGTAGAAGTCTTTTGTTAACAGAAGACATTTTGGGTTGCTCTACAGTAACATAAGACTGTTAGGTTTTCCACTTTCTACAAAAAATGTAATTTGAAAAAACAAAACAAAAGGAGAATGCCCTTGATTTATTGGCATGTAAAATAACTGAAGGAGGACTTCTTAATATATTCTATTGATTTTTTACAGAGAGGAAGGGAGAGAGATAGTTAGAAACATCAATGAGAGAGTTGTCGATCAGCTGCCTCTTGCACACCCCCTACTGGGGATGTGCCTGCAGCCAAGGTACATGCCCTTAACCGGAATCGAACCCGGGACCTTTCAGTCTGCAGACCAATGCTCTACCACTGAGCCAAACCGGTTTCGGCTGAAGGAGGACTTCTTAATTAGCCCCTTAAGGAAATAAAAGGCCGAAGGGAAGATTTACTCTCTCAATGTGAATGTGACCTTCTTGAAAGATAAAACCCACTTCTGCCATATATATTTTAAAAATTTTCCTTTGTTTTTCATATCCTTAGTGAGTATCCAGTGTCTTGTACCAGTATTTAGAAAGTAGTATTTCAACTTAAGAACATGTGTGAATATACTTGCTTTTTAAAAATTTAACTATTTTTAAATATGCATATATTTTTATTGATTTCAGAGAGTAAGGGGGAGGAAAGAGAGAGAAACATCAATGATGAGAATCAACGATCGGGTGCCTCCTGCACGCCTCTTACTAGGGATTGAGCCCCCAACCCAGGTATATGGCCTGACCAGGAATCTTGGTTCCCAGGTCGATGCTCAACTACTGAGCATCACGGGTCAGGCATTATTTTGCCACTTTTCATATAGATTATAATATTTCTGGGGATTTTTTTTCTATAGCTGTGAACATGAAATTGTTACACTAATAGCCCTCCTAAATAATATATGGGTTATTCTCATACGGCATTTATTGGGATTAAATGTTTCTGTATATATGCTATTACCGTGTTTCCCCGAAAATAAGACATCCTCCGAAAATAAGACCTAGCCCATGGAAAGATAAAACATCCCCTAAAAATAAGATCTAGCGCAACTTTGGGAGAAAAAATTAATATAAGACACTGTCTTATTTTCGGGGAAACAGGGTAGGTGAAATATGCTATTTGGTCAGGTTGAATAGCTTTTTTCTCTTTAGCCTTCCCACTCATTTAATGTAGTATTAAACAGAAAATCTATTTGCTATTTTCAGTGATTAACATGAAAACAAAACATATGACTTGGTAATTGGCATAAGAAACAAGGAATAGAATGTCCTTTTAGAAATATTGTGATTACTTTGATTCTTTAAGGAGTCATTGAATTCTTGATACATTTATAACTCTTTCTGCTTAACATTTATCATTCACATATGAGCTGTTGTTTTACTTGTCTAACTATCCAGTGAGCCTGTTGATGGCAAGGTCTTTGTCTTTGTTCTCTAGTGTATTTTTATATCTTAGCCTAATGTCTGACATTTGGCACTCAATAAGTATTTATTTAATGAATGAACAAATAGAAAATAACTACCAGTAAAAAAAAAAAAAAAAGAAATATTGTGATTAGACAATCTACTTAAACCTAGTGAAATAATTAAGTTCAAATAAAAAATGTTAGAATAGTCGTAATATAAAATGCTTAACATGGAGCAAAGAGGGATATGATATTTTAGGAAATGCTTAATATATAGTACACGTATTCAAAAAGTGAAAACACCTATCTTTTATATTTGATTATAAAGTAAATATGCTTAGAAATTCCATTTAAAGAGGTTTTGTTACTGCCATAGTTAAGTAATTAAGTGCTAAAGTAGTGTTTGTCAGCCTTGCCACTATTGACATTGGGCCATATAATCCTTTGAAGGGGGCTGTCTTGTTGTTTATTGTAGGGTGTTTTGCTTCATTCCTCTTTCCCTTAGTGCCAGTAGTACCCCTTCTCACTCCCAGTTGTGACAGCCCAGAGCATCTCCAGACATTGCTGAGTGTTTCCTGATGGGTAAAGCCACACTCTGTTGAAAGCCAGTGTTCTGAAATGATGTCATTTATGAAAAGGAGCCACTTATGACAATGTGATTAGTGGCAAGAACACAAAACTTTAGTTCTAAAATCGCTTTATTCATGTAGATGATATTTAAAGCATTAATAGGTAAGTAAATTGTGGGATTATGTAGGTTTGAGAGTAAATTTTATATTTGCAAATATATAGGGTGTGCCAAAAAATGTATACACACTCATAACAGCTGATTCTGTGACATTTTGAAATGAAAATGTACTTTAATAAATATTGCCTTTATAATTATTCAAAGTGTGTATACATTTCTTTGCAACACCCCCTGTATGTACTCTCATATATGAATGTATTTGTGTATATGGCCTTATCGTATATACATACTATGTGTATATTAAAGCACAGGTGAAAATGCTTGTTTATTGCTAGAAATTACTAACTTGAAACCACATAAGTATGGACTTGAAATTTTGTCTGTTGTAAACTGATTGTATTGAGAAATTTTAACTGTTCTGTTTGTGATTAATTTTAGCTACTACTCCATGGTTTGAGTCTTACAGAGAGACCTTTCTTCAGTCAATGCCAGCATCAGATCATGAATTTCTGAACCACTATTTAGCCTGTATCCTTTGACCTTTTTGTTCTCTTAAAATAAAATGTTTTGAAAGTTACTAATCTCAGAAATAGTTATATGAAGGCAAAATTGTTGAAAGGATATAGAGAATGTGGATTTAAGAAAAATATTTTTATTGATTTCAGGGGGAAGGGAAAGGGAGAAAGAGATAGAAGCATCAATGGTGAGAGAGAATCATTGAATGGCTGCCTCCTGCATGCCCCCTCATGGGGACTGAGCTCATAACCCAGACATGTGCCCTTGACCATAATGCAACCCGACCCTTCATTCTGCAGGCTGACGCCCTATTCACTGAGCCAGACCAGCTAGGGCTGGATTATTTTAACATTGATAATGCTTCAAAAGTTTTCGTTGTTGTTGTGTTGTTAAGTAGCATACTAGGTAGGGATTGGTGTAATAAATTAATTTTTGATTATAAAGTAGGAATACTGAGGGATTGCTTATTGTTTTTCTTTATCCCCCAACTCAAGTGGTTTATGCATAATAACTTTTTAAAAATAATATGTCTTTAATTATTTTAGAGAGAAAGTAGGGATAAGGAGAGAGAAAAAGACACATCGGTGTGAGACACACTGATTGGGTGCCTCCTGCGCATTCCCTATTAGTAAGCTGTTTTGTAGCTATTAACCTCCTTTGACAGTTAATGTTTTTTTTTTTTTTTTTTTTTTTAGTTTTTTAAATGTGATTATAGAGGGAAGTTAAGAGGTAGGATAGAGTATGAAACTGCAGGGAAATGGAATGGGAAGGAGCAAGATTCAGCAGAATTATTGGATATATTGATAGTTGTATAATTTTGATACTGTCCATTTTTATTTTCCATATTGATATGTAAATAACCCAACAATGGCAACAAAAAGATCTTTAAGATTTAGGATCTTGAATAACATAGAAGTGTTGGAGAAATTATTTTGTGCTTGCTGTGAAAACCTATGATAATTTTTTTGGCTGAGAAATTATCTTCCTAAGTTTATTTTAATAGGATATTTTTATCATTGATGGTAAATGATAATTACCTTAATAATATGGTTTATAAGGTATGCTGGTAGCATCGTCTAGTGAAGCAGAACCTATGGAACAGTTTGGAAAGTTGTCACAAGAGCAGCATCGAATTCAGCACAATAATGACTATTCCTACCCCAAGTGGTTTATACCAAATACACTTAAATACTATGTACTCCTACACGATGTAAGTGCAGGAGATGAACAGAGGTAAGCTTTCCATTTTTAATTAAGAGATTTTCTTTTTTTAAATGATACAACTTTAATTTGAACATGGCTTATTTAAATTTTAGGTATATTTTTCATCTGCGAAAGTAAAAATTGAGTAAAAAAAACCCCATATAGCTATTATTAAAAAACTCATATAAATTTCAGAGTTATAGTTAATAGCTGAATCATTTTATGTTGGATTTCATATGCTTACCCAAACTTTTCTTTCACTGTGAATATCTGTTAGCATAATCATTGTACACAAGTGCTTGCCATTTTACACCTATAGGTCTAAGGTGTTATTTCTTACTTTATATAGAATTATTTCTCATTTTCTCCTTTTTTTCCTTCCCAGTTTTTGTCTGACTTTTCACTTCCTGGCTGTTGCTTATAGGCACTTCAGTTTTCACTCTTCACTCTTGTCACTTTATATTATTAGCCTTGATGTTTTTCACAACCTCAGAAACATCCGAACATTTCTTAATGTTTCCTGTACTATTTATTATTAGTGATTTGCTGTAGTCCTTTTATCTTTCAGATAAGTGAATAACATAGCTTTAAAAATTTCTTAAAAAATAAGATAGCATTGAAAGCAATTTTTACTTATGAAGTTAGTTGACTTTGACTCTTGGTTTAAGATGTGTAGCACAACTTTTGTTTCTCACTTTTCTGATGTCACAATGACATTTATAATATGCAGTTGAGTAATTATTTCTTGCCCTTATTTTGAGCACAAGCCATCTTTTTAATAAATTTTTCTCTATAAAATCAAAGAATTATTTTGAGGATTACTAATCTTTGAAATCATAAATACTCTGTACCCTGTAGGATAAAGAATAGAAATAATCTTGAACTGGTTAGTTTCTGTCAGTTAAATATGTATCTACTAGGACATTTAAGTGGTAGTTCAAGTGGTTCACATGTTTAACAGTATCACTGGTAAATCGAGAAGTTTAGTTTATTGTACTTGAGTATATGTACATGCATGTATCCTTATATCTGTGTTTATAGAAATTTATAACTACTTTTCTAGCCTTAATTTTATAGTATGTACTATGGTTTCATTGTGTGCTAGGCTTGTTATTTGCATGCTATTAGCAATTTGAACATGATATATAAGACTTTGCAGGATTTTTTTTTTTTTTTTGCACCAGATGGCTGATAGACTTAAAACAACAATAACAACAACACACACACACACACACACACACACACACACACACACACACAGGCAAGAGCAAAAAAACCAAAAACCTATTTAAACTAATTAGCTCTAAGTACCAAAATTTCATTTTCTATCAGAATACACTGTTTGCTTCTTAGGCTGTTTTGTCATTTGAATTATTTTATTTCCCACCAGCGAGAAAGTTTAGTTAACACAAAGTATGGAAATCAAAATACCTTTTTTTTTTTTTTAATTTATTGATTTTTACAGAGAGAAAGGGAGAGAGCTAGAGAGCTAGAAACATCGATGAGAGAGAGACATCAACCAGCTGCCTCCTGCACACCCCCTACCGGGGATGTGCCCTCAACCATTGTACATGCCCTTGACCGGGATTGAACCTGGGACCTTTCAATCTGCAGACCGACGCTCTTATCCACTGAGCCAAACCGGTTTCGGTCAGAATGCTTTTTGTTACATCTGATGTACAGCTCATGGATATAACTATTATAAATTTTACAAGAAAAATGGAATGGTTTTATGTAATACGTTCTATGGCTGCTCTTCTTGAGTTTTCTCTCTCCTCTTCTGTACTGTGCCCCTTTGGAGACGGCTAAGTGAAGGATAAATTAGCAGCTTAAGATGTTTTGTAAGTGTGGGGTACTGTACTTTTCTATTTTAGCACTACGGTTTTTGATAAATGTCTGTTCTCTAAGATAGAATTTCCCAAAGTCATACTTCTTGAAATCCTCAGAGTTGAGTTACAGTACTGTTTGCAGCTCTTTGTCAATTCATAGTGCACGTTAACAAATGGAAGACTTAGAGATGGTTTGCTGCAAAGAAACTGTTAACTGTAATTCCCCAAACTATTTGGACCACCAGAACTCTCTTTGAGTAACGTAGGAGTAGCTTGCACATTTTTATTCCATAGAACACTCTTTGGAAACCCTGTTTATCCAAGCTAGATGAATTTCAGTTAAGATCATTATTTTTGTTTTCATTTGAAAATGAGTCTAATTTTCTGGTCTGTCTTTTCAGGGGATTATTTTTACATCATTTAAAAATTATTTTAGTATCTTTTATTGCCTAAAGTCTGCTCCATACTTACTACAAATGTTTTCCATTTTTTACTTTAGAGCTGAATCCATTTATGAAGAAATGAAACAGAAATATGGAACTCAGGGTTGCTATTTACTTAAAATTAATTCTCGAACATCTAATCAAGCATCAGATGAACAGATACCAGATCCTTGGAGTCAGTATCTTCAGAAAAATAGTATTCAAAACCAGGTATATGTAAAAAACAACAATGAAGCAAACCATAAAAGCTCTATTTCAGTTTTATGCCATACTGGTATCTGTAGAATTTTTTTTAATATCTTAGTTTAATAGAATTAATAATATTTATTTTGGAATCTGGCTAGCTTTCATTCATCACCATGTGAACTCTTAAATCAGTGGTTCAAAGCTATTTTTTAACTAATAATTATCCCTATGTTATTCCTTTCAGGCACATAATATCAATGTTAATTGATCTTTTTTCACGAAAATATGGAAAGTGAATTACACATTGAGAATTGAATTAAGTTGGCTAGAATTTTTGATTTGTACATTTAATTCATTTTGAATGCTTATTGTCCATTCTTTGTTATTCACATGCTGTGGGGTTGCCTTCCTTCATTTTCAACATTCTGTTCTTAAGGCCATCTTTTAGAACTCTTACTGTTTTTAGGTGGTGGGTGGGCTTTTTTCCATAACTTTCCTGTGATTCCTTTCCTTGGAGTTTTCAGGAAGTGTTGCTTCTTCCTAATCTACTTTCTTAATCTAGAGTTCCATACTAATGTTAACTGTTGTCTGAAATGGGTTGGTGTTTGGTTTCACACTGTCAAACTTTCTAGGAAAATATGTTTTTATTGATTTTTTTTTTTTTTAAATAGAGAGAGAGAGGAATGAGAGGGAGAGTGAGAAATATTGATGAGATAGAAACATCCATAAGCTTCCTCCTGCACAACTCCTGTTAGGCATAGATCGCAGCCTGTACCTGTGCCACGGTGACCTCTTGGTGCATAGGACTACGCTCAGTCTCCTGAGCTACACCCACTGGGCAACGCACTGTTGAGAAAGCATTGTCTGCCACTTGGCAGTAAAGAGTCAAATGACAGGTTCCTAAGATTAGTTCAGATAATCCAGAGTTGACTGGTTTTTGTTTAGAAGTAGGATTTCTTAAGTAAATGGAAAATATCTTTATTTTGTATAATTAACAACTTGTATTCTCTTTATGTGATATTTTAAAAAATATCAATTATAAAATTTATGTAACTTTTGATCTGTAAATATTTAGAAATCTGTTTATTTGCCCTACTTTTCTCTATATATGGAAATTGTGATCCACATATAGTTCTGTACTGGTATTTGCAATAGTAAGATGATTCCTGACCTTTAAGATAATGCTGGGGAAAGATGAGAAAAAGAACCAGTTAGATGGGAAGAGGCTCTGTGTTTTAAGGTGGTCCTAAGGCCACACTCAGAAGAGGAATAGTAGTGGAATATTCAGTTTACAGCCTAGTATATAAGATTGAGACTGTTCCGTTTGAGAATTTTTAACACAAGACCAGAAGTATCAACAATTCTATAGCTGATAACCCTAGAGGCCCATGATTGGAGGATAGTTTAAAGGTTACCGAATCTAACCCCTGTTTCCTAATGCTTTAATTTCCCTTGAACCTATGAATGACCTCAGTTACATTGCTCACTATCTTTTCATGTGACCCTTTCTATCTGAACAGCTTGAGTGAGGGTCAACCAAAAATTTTCTCCATTTGTTTGTACTCATTTGTCCTGTGAGGACTGTATCATTTTCTGTTAAGACAACTTTCAAAATACAGGAGAAGGATGTTCATGTCTCCTTTATTTTTCCAGGCTAAATATACCAAGTCTTTTTCAAATTTTTCTTAAAGGGTTTAGACTTTTTTGTTGTGATCACTTTCTCTTTTTTAAATTCTATTTTATATAGGATTTGGAATAATACCTCAAAATTACTGGTCTGATTGACTACTGAGTATTTTTAGTTTTCTTCATTGATGGAGAAAACAGTGTATTTGTTCAAATACATAGCATTGGATATTTTTCTAAAACATTTTGATGCGTTCAGTATGCATTTCAATATATTAACACTGGGTTCATGACCAGGAGGTTCCATGCCATCTCTTTTTACCCTGGCTTGACTTTAATAGTACATTTCTTTTGCTGTTGTTCCTTACTTAAATGCATATACAGATATTTATATTGGCTTGTTCCCATCACTTATACACAGATAAACTGGGATAGAGATCATTTGAATCCAGAAGAATCAGGGTAATAGATTGAATGTGAATGGAAAATTAAGGATATAGTAGGTGTGGACTGGAGTGCTAGATAAAGATGCATAGAAAAGAGTCCTGCTGTAGCAAATAAATGAGGCAGAGCAGCCATATTTGTTGATGGATTTAGAATTATCTTAAAATGATTAAGAGTAAGTGCTAATGCTTTTTATCTTGTTTTGATAGGAATCATATGAAGATGGTCCTTGTACTATATCTTCAAATAAGAATTCTGATAGTAACTTGCTTTCATTGGATGGATTAGATAACGAAGTCAAAGGTCTTGATACCCTTTCTGTAAATTTCTCTTTTTAATTGAATATATGCACTGTTGTCAAAACATGCTAAACTCTGTAGATTAAAGATAGGGGAAATATTCATAATAAAGATAATCTACAGGTTAGCTTTTCTTCTGAAGATTTTATTGAGATTGTTTTTATTTGACATTTAAATTTTATAAGTACTACATTTCTTAAAAATTTATGGAAAGCAAGGGGAATATGCATCATGAATTATTTCCAAAATTAACATAATTTTGAGGGTTTCTTTTATATTTTAAATAGTTTTGGTAATAAGGGTAGCTTTACAATTTTTTATTATAATATTTCTTACTGCTTAATTTTGCAATTTGAAAATAATTATATCTAAAAACTGTATTTTTTAAAAAAATATATTTTATTGACTTTTCACAGAGAGGAAGGGAGAGAGATAGCCAGAAACATCGATGAGAGAGATACATCGACTAGCTGCCTCCTGCACACTCCCCACTGGGGATGTGCGCCCTTGACCGGAATCGAACCTGGGACCTTTCGGTCCGCAGGCTGACGCTCTATCCACTGAGCCAAACTGGTCTCGGCAAAACTGTATTTTTCTTGACTTATTTACATGACCTTAAAAATTTCTATTATGTGTAACAAGTAATAACCCAAGCCTTATAACTTTAAAGGGGAAAATATTAATGTTATTGCATCATAGATGTCTGAGATATACAGGAAAATAAAGGATTCCAACATCCTTTTTTGTGTTAGCAGTATGACAGTAATATTGTTCCGTGCTGAGAGTAAAAGAAAGGTCTGTCTTTCAGCAGATGGCTTACCAAATAACTTTAGAGCCCACCCACTTCAATTGGACTCATCCAGTGACCCTTCGAACAACATTGATGGCCCAGATCATGTAAAATCTGCATCATCATCACATGAAACAAAGAAAGCAAATCCTGGAATTATTCATGGTGCATGCTTAACCCTTACTGATCATGATAGAATTCGACAGTTTGTACAGGAATTCACATTTCGGGGCCTTTTGCCACATATAGAGAAAACAATTCGGCAATTAAATGATCAGGTAAGATTTTATTTTTTTAGATTAATATTTAAAATTTTTCAGTACATAGTACACGAGAATATAATAGGTTAAGTTTTTTAAAGTATTTAAAATGGTGTTTGTTTTTTTAAGGAAAAACCAATATAGTTTTTATTTATTTATTTATTTTATTGATTTTGTACAGAGAGGAAGAGAGAGAGATAGTTAGAAACATCGATGAGAGAGAGTCGATCAGCTGCCTCTTGCACACCCCTTACTGGGGATTTGCCCGCAACCAAGGTATCGATACATGCCCCTGACTGGAATCGAACCCGGGACCTTTCAGTCCCCAAGCCGACGCTCTATCCATTGAGCCAAACCAGTTTCGGCCAATATTAGTTTTTAGTACCATTACCATCCCTAATGAAATTCTGTTAAATCATTTTCAATAGAGTTTTTTCAGCATATTCAACAGTTTAAAGAAAAATCAGTGTTGTTAAAAATAAATATTTGCTCACTATAAAAAGCTTTTTACTTTAGAGTTTTTTCTTTTGTATATAAAATAAAAATATTAAATTCTCATATTTGTCAACGTATTTAATCTTTTCTCTTAGCTTATATCAAGAAAAGGTTTGAGTCGGTCTCTATTTTCTGCAACTAAGAAATGGTTTAGTGGCAGTAAAGTTCCAGAAAAGAGCATAAATGAACTGAAAAATACCTCTGGATTGCTGTGAGTCAAATAATATATTCCTCCCTCTCCCCCTTACCTGTTTAATCTTACTAGTGTTTGACTGTATGATGGCCTGTAAAAAAAGACTATTTTTTACTTTCTTATTTTCACATTGGTCAAATTCAAGTAGTTAAGAACAGTGACAATAGGTAAATTAACTAAACTAAACTAAAAAAACACTTTTAAGTAATTGGATGTCTAAAAATAAAGAAGATAACTGGGAGGCACTTTATGTTGCTTCTGTTTTCTATTTGTAAAACGGTGCTGTAAGATGAGGTGTTCAGTAATGATTCTCCTATGTTAACATATTGTGGTCTTGTGATTCTAAGACAGCCTGTACTTAGAAAATTTAACTTAAAATAAGATACTGTTTTCAGGTAAAGTAAAAGCATGTTTTGGATTTAATTTTTTTTCCTGGTTGTATGTAAAACTGGAATTACTATTTCGTTCATAATTTGACTATGGAGAAAGTGCTTGCTTGTTGTTGAGAAGTTCTCTGTATGGGGTATACATTATTTAAATATAGATATAACTATAGTTCCAGATATCTTTGAGACATGACACTCTTTCCTTGGAGATGGGATTTTTGTAAAACATGATTGGTTTTCACAGTGTTCTGGGCAGGTAAGCAGCTGTTAAGTATTTGATAACACGTAGTGGTGTGTGGGTCATAGATCACAAAGTGCTTTCCATCCATGTTTTGTGTTTATAGGTACCCACCGGAAGCACCCGAGCTTCAGATCAGGAAAATGGCTGACCTGTGTTTCCTGGTGCAGCATTACGATCTGGCTTACAGCTGCTACCACACTGCAAAGAAGGACTTTCTTAATGATCAAGCAATGCTTTACGCAGCCGGTGCCTTGGTGGGTGTTCTGTATAACTTATTTCAGCTGCCTTAAGATGTAGGCATTTCTGCTGATGAAATGGCAAACAGAATACCCAGGGATAAAGTTGTATTCAAAGAGCACACAATGCTGTATACTATATTAGTTTAGCTGAATTGATGGATTTTCCTCAAGCTAGTGCTTTTAAATATGGTAGTATGTAAAGATTGATTTCTTAGTTTTGATTAACATCTAATTTTTCTGTATGTTTTCAAAATTTGATTCCAATTTCAGTTACAATATTCAAAGTGTAAAGTTTACTTTTTTTTTTTTTTTAGAAGATGTGCTTTTTTTGTACTTCTTGAATAGTCTTAAAATTGCTTGAAATGTTTTATTTTCCTGATGTAAGGCTATAAATTGGTTAAGAACATGTACTTTGATGTAAGACAGACTGTTCTTTACGAAAATTACTAAGTGTTTGCAAGCTTCGGTTTTCTTGTCTATAAAATATGAATCCTAATGGCACAGGATTCAATAAGGTATAAGGCATGTAACGTGTTTAGCATATCTCCTTGTATGTAATAAGTTGTCAGTTAGCATTGTACCATCTATGGTACAATGTCAGTAATTGGTGTGTAAACTTAGGTGTTTTAGAAAGAATTTTCTATACTTTTAATCACCTTTTAGTATTTTTGAAAAGTTGTTTAAAATATATATATATATATTAAAATTTGCTTCCTGTGCCTAGAAAAGAGTAAAATTAGCATTGTTACTTTCTACTTAATCTTCTTTAAAACATGTAAGCTTACAAACAAAAGTGTGAAGAACAAACTGTATAAGAACTTAAAATACTCCATTGGGTCATCATCATGTAGACACCTTTTTAATTGCTTCTATTTAAAAAAATATATATTTTATTGATATTTTACAGAGAGGAGGAAGGGAGAGAGATAGAGATCTAGAAGCGTCAATGAGAGAGAAACATCGACTAGCTGCCTCTTGCACACCCCATATTGGGGATGTGCCCGCAACCAATGTTCATGCCCTCGACGGGAATCGAACCTGGAACCTTTCAATCCGCAGACCAATGCTCTACCACTGAGCCAAACCGGTTTCGGCTAATTGCTTCTATTTTTTTAATGCTATGTATATATAAAATTAAAATGGGTAATTTAAAAATGTGAAGCTAAAATAGCAAAATTATATCACTTTTTCCTTTTATTTCGGTAATATTTTAATGAAAAAGTCAACTAACTTTTTGACCAATTTGTTCAGGAATAGAAAATTTTCATGTTCAAGTGTCTTAAAAAATGATATGAACTGTTCTTGGTTAGACATTCCCTGTTTTTTCTATTACACATCTAATATAAGCTACTAATGGAATCACACATACTGAAGATCATTTCATTAATATCTTATAACATAGGTTTAAATGTACAGTTATTAAATTTTACATAATATTCCTGCAAAATTAATGTATGTTTGGAGGTAAAATCATCTAAAGAGATGGCAAAAATTTCTACGATTTTATGGCTCTGAAGTTTTTTCATCTTTTTTATTGTAGTATGATAAATACTGCATTTAAGCCATTTAGATGAAGATATGATAAAGATGAAGATATAATAGTAGCTATATAAGAGAAAGTAGTTCAGCACTGGAAAATAAAGGTCTACCTGCTATAACATAATGTATGCATGTGTAAATATCCTTATACTGCCCTAAAAGTAATGGGCTTCGGAGGAAAATAATGTTGGGATAGTCCTCTTAAAACATGTGTCTTTGTAGCTGGAACACAGACAAAAAACATGAATAGCAAGTATGTATTTTTGTAAAATATAGTATTATTCTACATAGTTAATATATTTGATATTTTTTATGCAACATAGAACTATGTAAATTCATTATTTATATTAAAATATAAACTAGTTAAGAAAACTAGTTTCAGAGTTGTAGATTTTTTGTCATATGATTATGACAGTTTTATTTGGTTTATTAACTAAATTTTTGAGCAGGCACTTCTGGGTGCTGAGGATACAGAGGTACTTTGAAACATACAGTTCATAGTGTCATGGAAATCCTGTGAGGTTAACAGCTTTAATCACATCCCAGTTTCTAGGTAATTAATTTATTTTTGTGTATGTTTTAGAAAATGTTGCAGAGGAATATATCCTAAAAGTAGATTGGCATTATTATTTTTTTCCCTTTAACTTAGGAAGATTTCATGTATTTCTAGTTAAGTTTTTATTAAGTCCTGGCCAGGAGGCTCCGTTGGTTGGAGCATTGTCCTGTATACCAAAAGGTGGTGGGCTCCATCCTCAGGCGGGGAGTGTACAGGCGGCAACTGATAGATGTTCCTTTCTTACATGGGTGTTTCTCTCCCTCCCTGCCTTTTCTCCTTCACACCTTCCCTCCTCCTTCTGTTTCTCCCTTCCTCTCTAAAAAGCCATGGAAACATATCCTTGGTGAGGATTAAAGCAATTTTGGACATAGTAGGACATTCTAAGAAAACAAAGCCTGTGTTTTAACCTTTCTTTCTCAGTCTTTTAGCACCATTATATGTTACTCGAATTAATGAGCTACAGGTATAGACAGGAACAAGAAAATGGACTTTGAAAACGAAATAACTGGGAAACTGACAGTAACGTAGGTCTTAGAAATGATCCTTGTACCTTTTGTTAGGGTAAGGATATAAACTAGAGTGAAAATAATTGAAAATATATATATAGTGCAAGCTGCTGGGAACTCTGTTCTTCATATTTTGATGCCAATAACTGGAAAGAGATGTATCTTATTTTGTCTCTGTATGCTCCTGTCACTGGTCTCTTCTCTACTTAGAAAAGGGGAATAGTAGGGAGGAGATGGTAGCTGAAATCTTAAGCTAGACTCACGTATAGGTATATACGCCCTCACTCAAAAGTGTTCACTGAGTCTTCAGAATCTCATTTCTTCTTCTTTCCCCCCAAATCTCATTTAAATATTGAATAACAGACTTCGGCATTTGACTAGAGAATTTAAAATTTAAAAGCTTTAAGTGTATTTTCCAAGTCAGTGTTAGGCTATAAAATTTGTGCATGTACATGTATAAAAAATCAAATTTCATTCCAGTTTTCAGGCTTCCTGAGTGCTGAGCCACAAGCATTTTGAAATAGTGTAAATAATGTCTTCTCCTCCAGGAAATGGCAGCAGTGTCAGCTTTTCTTCAGCAAGGGGCAGCGAGGCCATACCCTGCACATTACATGGACACAGCCATCCAGACATACCGGGATATCTGCAAGTAGGTGACTAGAATATTTATGTTCTTTCCATCTAGAAGGAAGTTGGCATTTACATTGTTACTGAAGATGAGTGGTTCCGTGTTTCTATGAAAGTTAATATCGTCAGAGACAAGATGTAATCTAAAACTAGTGTTTCCTATTTTATTTGGATTTGTGCTTAGGTAGGAATTTGTTATATGTAACGTTGAGGTTACATGTTATATTGAGGGTGATTTATATTATGGGAACATCTCACCTTAACCACTATTAAATCAGGAGTTAGCCATTTTGAACTTTCATTGTTAAATAGGCAACACACAAGCAATTAAATAATAGTCCAGGGACGGAAATGAGAAATGTTTGTACACATCGTAAGAACTGTTGGAACTCATTGCTTTATTGGGACAATGAGCTGGTCCAGAAGAAGGCAGGGCGCTTCATGGCATGTTTGGGGAATACCTTGAAAGAAAGGCGGTTGGATTTGATGGACATATGGACAAGTCAGAAATTGTGATTGTTGGGAACGATGATTTGGGTGCTGCCCACCTAGAGAAAGGGAGTAGAGCTGTGGCGAGGGCAGGGGCTTCAGAGAAGTAAAGCATTGGGTGCTGCATGTGGAAAGATGGCTTGAGAGAAATCAGTGTGGGGAGCCTCATCCCTCTATTACTTACGCTGTAGGTGAGAATTAAGTAGTAGGAAATGGATGTTACTGAATATTTGAGTACAGCCTTGACATAATAAAAGTTGTTTTCAGGAAGATTAATCTGACTTTTCTATGTAGCATGCATGGGTTGTCTTATAATGTTGTTGAAGTATAAGTACTAGTTATGGTGTTATATTTACAGCACAATACTACTAATAATTGACATTTATTGAGTGTTCAGCATTTGCTACTATGCTAAAATAGTTTACGTGCTCATTTAATCTGAAGCCTATAGAATGGTATTATTATTATCTGTACTTCACAGATGAGAAGACTGAAACTTAAGAGTTTCACTTGCCCAAGGGCACACAGCTAGTAAATGGTGGAGTCCATACTGAATTTTACCTATCATACCTTATGTAATCTATTTGAGATAGATTTGGAGATTCTGGCAGGAGATACAGCTTTCCGTGAGAGGAAGGGTTGAAGGAGACTGTGAAAAAGAGCTGGGAGAGTGAGGTAGCAAAGGAGCCAGAATGAAGAGTGAGAAGTTTGTGTTCATTTCTGTCGAGAGCAAGTTTTATTTGTTAAATAGCTGCCGGTGTACAGATACCAGATAAGTCCTAGCTTTTTGCACACCTGAATTGTGAGTTGACTTAGTATTTTTACCACAAAATTATATGACGAAAAGCTTTGAATAGTTATGAGAATTCTTAGGAGTGTTTATTTTTTAACTTCTTTGGTAAGTGGAAAACAAGGACATGGATTTCTTTTTGCTTGAAAACTAGAATTGGAAACTTTTGTTGAACACATAGTTACTATGATGTATAAAGATGTAGTGCTAATTATATATATTTTTTTTTTTTTTTTTTTTTTTTAGGAATATGGTATTGGCTGAAAGATGTGTATTACTTAGCGCTGAAATCTTAAAAAGCCAAAGCAAATATTCAGAGGCTGCAGCTCTTCTAATACGGCTAACCAGTGAGGTACTGAAACTGTGTAGTATTTGCTTTAATTAGTGTTATTTTATAATTTTTATAAAGTCCCCCCCCTTCTTTTTTTTTGAAGGTGTACAAAACAATTAGAGGGGGATCTCTCTCTGGGAATTTATAACATGGCTACTTTAGTTATTTGAATAAATTTTATATGCAATACTTTGTAGACTGATTTTATTTATAGATTTAAGTCTACATCATTATTAACCACAAACGTGTTGTACATCTTCTGTGAATTAGGTTGTGATCCATGTATAACAACAATTTAACAAGTGTGTGCGCCATTCCCCATGTAAAATTGATACTTACAAGAGTAATCACTCAGGAATATTTAATCTTATTTTAGTAATATGACCTTTAAAAACATCACCATAAGCATTTAAAAAATCTATATGAATATTTCAAAAGAGAAAAAGTAATCCATTTTTAGTTGCCATTAAAGATTTATAACATTAAGTTGCATTGCCTACAGACTTGTAAAGAATGATAGTGATATCTTTAAAAGTATGGTTAAAGACACATTTTTTAGATGAACGTGCTTAAGAACAGAACAAAATCAAACACCTCCTTTGTTCCTTAAATTTTAATGTAATGTACACTACAGCTTTATTTATTTATTTTACTTATTTTGTTTCTTTATTATCACCTGAGGATATGTTTTATTGATTTTTAGAGAGAGAAGAAGGAAGAGGGAGGGAGGGAGGAAGAAAGAGAGTGAGAGAAACATCAGTGTGCTAGAGAACCATCCATCAATTGTTCCCCGACTGGGGATTGAACCAGTGACCTGGTATATGGGATGATGCTCCAATCAACTGAGCCACCCGGCCAGGGCTCTACACTATAATTTTACTTTTTTGGACCATTCTGTACCTTTCACTCTACATATTTTGGGGGTAATTTGTTCATAGGCAGGATTTTCACTCTCAAATCTGTCTCCAGCCCTGTCTTCTTGAGTTTTAGATTTGTGTGGCCAACTGCCTTTTAGACCTGTCTTTAAGTTGACATATCAGTGAGTAACCACATAAACTTTCTTATCTTATAGATTGTGATCTTAAATTGTCATAACTAGGTAGCTTCTCATTTGCTCAAGATTTTGAAACTAGTTGAGATGTTCTCTTACCTGTCAGTTACACAATTGGGGGTGGGGGTGGGGAGTGGTTAACTTCTGAAATATGTGGGTTTTTTTTATATTCAAACATTATACTTTTCCTTTTAAAAAAAATCCCTCCTAATGTCTTATTTCATCTTCTTAATGTCCTTCTCCTGGTCCTTTTCCTGTTATGACCTTCATACAGTAATCTGCAGTACACAAGGTTGTCCTCGGTGTCTCTATCACTCCCTCTCTTACAGTGCTGTGAGACCTGACTTGTCATATTCCATTTAAGCTGTGAGCTTTTGATAGTAGGGACTGTGCTGCCTTCATGTTTATCCTTAGTGCCTAACACAGGGCTTGGCACATGGTATATGATTTAACAGATGTTTGTTGAATCGAACCTTAATTGTTCTCAAAAGGTTTCTGTATGATGTAACTAATTAGGTTAAGAGATGATATTAAAAATGTTTAATAATGGATTCAACATGAACACTGACCAATATGAACTGTTGCCAGACATAAACTATTTGATAGAGCTGAATATAGGCTCCTGAGTGTGTTGATGTTCTGTATTATAATAAGCAATCTTACTTGGGTTTGAATACGCTGCTGTTGTTTTCAACCTAGGGATCCTCAGTGAATATAAAAGGAATTTATGGTTTAGGAGCTTGAATAAAATTTTTTTAGAGCAAATTCTTCAGTCTGCATTGTAACTTTGTAATTTTCTGTCCTTGTTCTCTTTTCTTTCCCATCTTTTTGCTTTCTCCTTTTTCAAACTCGGGTGATTTATTTTGTCATAAATTCTAGCAAATGTATCATTGTTATTTACTACTTTGGGGGATGTGTGGTGGTTATTTCTTCAGGAATTGTCATTCTCTGGCCTTTTTTGCTGTACCTTTCAGGTATTTCTTTGAGGCAATTGAAAGTAAAGACTTGTAAACATATTGTATATAAAGTTATGTTAAATTTTAACTAATAATTTGTGGTTATCGTATGTATTTCATTAACTTAGGAGGGCTGCATAATATCATAGAAAGTTCATTCATCTTAAGGACAGGGAACTGCATTACATACTCTTGACGTTTACGAGTTGTGCTTGATAGATTTTGCTAATCCCATTAGAGCAGAAGACAGCTGTGCAGCTGGGTGAGAAGAGTTGTGTTGGGACTTTCTGTTTGGACTGCAAGTGGCTGGGCAGGGGATCGTATTCCTGTGTTCTTGGTGTGGCAGAGCATCCCAGCTCAGTGACAAAGCGTGCTGCACTCACCACCACAGGAGAGTGGCCTGCATTGCTGTTTAAGAAGGGTGCTTTTCCTCTGCTGTGTCTGCGTTTCTGTGTTGGACATTTATTCTAGTCTTAAAGCTCGTTTTATCTACTCCTGTATCTAAAGACATTACCTCAGTTTCCCAGGGAGAAGTAGCAACAGTTATTATAAATCTCTCCGGCTTGGAAGGAACCGCCCAGTGCTAAATTGATCAGCTGGTAGCACCTTTCTTGGTTACTTCACAATTGTGTGAAGAAAAAAATCTTAAGCCATCCTTTTTTTTTTTTTTTTTTTTTTTTTTTTAAATATATTTTATTGATTTTGTACAGAGAGGAAGGGAGAGAGAGATAGAGAGCTAGAAACATCGATGAGAGAGAGTCATCGATCAGCTGCCTCTTGCACACCCCCTACTGGGGATATGCCCGCAACCAAGGTACATGCCCTTGACCGGAATCGAACCCGGGACCTTTCAGTCCCCAAGCCGACGCTCTATCCATTGAGCCAAACCGGTGCCGGCTTAAGCCATCCTTGGAAGCTGATTTCAGTAAAGCTTGTGTAGCTGGTGGAGTGTTTATTCACGTCTCTAGCTTAGATGATTTCCCCTATATATATCCTCATAATTTAACATTGCCCTTTCAGTTTTTGTGAAAATTATGTCTTGATTGTGGGCAAAGTTCATAGGCTAGAGTTTTTGTTAAAGTGGTATCATAGGGTTTCCCCTCCCCTCCCTTAGTTCCTTATAGTATATATAATAGGATTGTCATATCATGAACTACAGAAAATAAAATATTTTTCTTCAACTCATTTATAGGTTCTGCTCTAAAAAAAATAAAATAAAAAATAACACTAAAATTCTTTCATTTTCCTTTCAGAAACATCCATGGCAATTGTCATTCTTTTCAGGGCTTTCTCTGTGTGTTTGAAAGCAGTGATTTTTCTACTTGAGGCGTCACTGAAAGAGATGGGCTAACAGAACTAAGCTGCAGTGAGATAGGAATGTAGTTTTTCAGACCTGAAAATCCATGCTTTCTCGGACAACAGCTTTCCTGGATACAAGAGTCAAACTTTGTTTCAGCTAAATTAACACATGTCATGGGCTTCCAGGTCTCCTACATTGGTCAGCCCTTGAGGATTAAGTTTGAGAATGCTGAGGGTTTACTGTGCTAATTCTCATCTGGATTGTATATTAGAGTCATTTACACACTATCCAGGATACCTGTGGCATATCCTTATGTTAACCAGCATGTCCAGATTGCTGCCCATCCAAATTTTGCAATTTAATGAAGTTTCTCTGGCAATTTAAAAATATGTATTTATTCTGAGTGTATGTGTTTGAATGTTATGTGTACACGCATGCTAGGAATAAATTTAAGAAAAATATAGGACTGAGAGAAAAAACTGAAACTCTGTTGAGAAGTCTAAATAAATAAAGTTCCAAAACAGAAAAAGTAATCAGAGGGAATTACCTGTTCTGCTTATTAAAATGTTTAGAAGGCTATAGATGTTAAAACTGTTTACAGTGATCAGAGTAGACAGAGTAATGGGATGGAATGAGAATTTAAATACATATGTTTAGGTGTCATTTAATTTAGTGAAGAGTGTTAGATAATTCACTGAATGCTATTGGGGCCTATAGCTAGCTGTTTGGGGTTGGATTATTCATTACATGATAATATTAACTAAAGCTGGATTAATTATAATGTGAAAAATAAAACAAAAAAATACTAGAAGAAAATAATAGAAGAGCATTTTAAAAATCTAGGAATAACATCCTTTCCCAGTTCGATGCAGTGTCCTAAAAACAAAGGCAAATATAATATGCTTGACTACTAAAGAATAACTCTTTCATGTCAAAATTGGAAACTACTATTTGCAAATGTATGATAATGGCTTGATGCTGATTAAGTGTACAAAGGGCTCTTACAAACCACATAATCACAAAAACCCACTCACAAAAGAGTATAAACAGGCAATTCACAAAAAAAGTACAAAGACCTTTGAACATAGGAAAAGATTAACAGCCTACTGTTAAAAAAATGTATGTTGAGAAAGAGTAATTTTTCTTTTATTAAAGGAATAAACATTTAAAAATTATCTTGGGCTGAGTAAAGAAAATATATACTCATTCTCTGGTGACAAGAGTATATATCAGTATTTTTTTTTTTTTGTAGCACTGATTAGAATTTGAAGTATAAACATAGCTTTCATTAAGTCAGCAGTTATATTTCCAAAAATTTGTCTAATAAAATTCCTATATGATAAAAGTGTAATATGCTAAGTGTCCAACCTATTGGTTAACCACCTTTCAGTCCATTGCTTGACCAGTCACTATGACACGCACTGACCACCGGGGGGCAGATGCTCTGACCTGTAAAGTTAGCTTGCTGCTGGGGTCCAGCTGATCAATTGCCACTGGGCAAGAGGGCCCTGATCTCCTGCCAGGCTGAGGGGCCCCACCCATGCACGAATTCTTGCACCTGTATTTGTATAATTAGTCACATTTGTTTAGAAAGATGTTTTTTTTTTTTTTTTTTAAAATATACTTTTATTGATTTCACAGAGGAAAGGAGAGGGAGACAGATAGAAACATAATATGAGAGAAACTCATTGATTGGCTGCCTCTTGCATGCCCCCTACTGGGGATCAAATCCGCACCCCTGACATGTGCCCTTGCTCAGAATTGAACCCAGCACCCTCCAGTCTTAGGCCAACAGCACTATAGTCACTGAACCAAACCAGCCAGGGCTAGAAAGATGTTTATTGAAGCATTTTTTATTATAGTTAGAAAATTTTGAAGCAATAATAAATCAATTGGAGACTGTTAATAGATTAGGGTATATTTGTGAAATGGAATACAAGGTAGTTTTAAAAGAAATGAGATATGTAGATGTCTTGGGAAGATGTCCATGATAATAAATTTAAAAGCAAAATAAAGAATACTCTGATATCATTTATGCATAGAAAAGTGTGTATTTTAAAAAAACTAACATATAAGCACACATGTAACACACATAACACCACTCTAAACTGGCAAATTGGATGAGGCATGGGATGGGAAAGAAAGATGTTCACTTTTTTTCCCTCAAACATTTAGTCTTTAAGGAAAAACGAGTGTATTAATTTAAAAAATATATGTTGTCCTAAGAAAACGAAGATGTAAGCTTCCTAGCCTCTTCCCCTCCCACCCCCTATGGTAATTCTGATGCATTGATATAGAACCACTTGTTAAGTGTATATTCCTAATTTTCTCACTTACTAGCTTTTGGCTCTTAGTTACTAGAAAAATTATCTGATTATTTAGTTTTTGTTCTGAGGGATTTGAAATAGATAACTTGAAATAGATAAAGCATTTTCTGAATGCTTTCTGGAGTATTTCCTCAGATCTGTTCCAACTCTAATATAATTTTATGATTGCTGCAGAGATAGTTATAATAGTGTCTGAATACTTTTTGATGTAACTATAATCTGTTGAAATGATTTCATTTAAAGTCAATGTTTTCTGTTTTCAACTTTCCCTGGGGAAAATAATGGCAGCAGAACACGTGGAAGGGCATGGTAAGTTCTGCGTCAGAGTAGCTGGAACCTAGAGAAAGTTTTGGTGGAAATGTTGTTGGTACTTGATCAGCAACCTTCAGTACTTTCTCAGTGATTTTGAAAGTAATGATGGCTCTTTCAGTTTAAGATTTTTCTTATAGATAAGGATGTAAGTGCAGTATGTGGTTTTTGTAGACAATGTTGTACGATTCAGTTTAAGCAGAAATAATTTGAGTTGTACCATTTATTAATATAGCAGGCAATGCTCCTTGAAGGGGAAGCCTTCTGAACTTTTTAATGAAGGAGCTAATTTTGGCCTACTTGAATTACATTAAAAATTAAGAATTTTTTGCAAATACAGTAAAACTTTATGGAGGAGAAAATAATAGTTTAAATTATTTTATAATTTATACATTCTGTTTTATTCTAAAACTCCCTCCCCCCTTTTTTTTGGATGGAAATACACTATTGGATGTCACAAATCAATTTCCAGAAGAAATTAGATTGGTGTGAATCTATTTTTGTGTGTTTGTGTGTGCTCTGTTTTCTGGTTTATCATTTATCAGTATATCTGTATTAAATTCTTAGTTTACATACTATTTTGCCATTTGGAAAGGGGTTGCATTTCTTCAGAGATGTGGCGTATGTTTTACGTGTTGTATGTCATAACAGGCATGTGGCTTTATGAAAAGCAAAAGAAAATACTTCATGGTAGAGTGTTTTCTGAAGGATTTTATTTTTTTAATGTGCTTATTGGAAAAAAGAATGATCAGGATTGGATTACCCAATTGCTCTCTGCCCTTAGATACTCTTAAGTTAAATATTGAATATGTTACATAGTAAGAAAGTAAATGTTTTCCACCTATTATCTTATTTTTAATTTTGTGAAACTCACCTTTTCTCTTAAACCTTTAACAGGACTCTGACCTTCGAAGTGCACTTCTTTTGGAACAGGCGGCTCACTGCTTCATAAACATGAAGAGCCCCATGGTGAGAAAGTACGCCTTTCACATGATACTGGCCGGCCATCGTTTTAGTAAAGCCGGGCAGGTGAGTGCATTTTCTTTACAAAGAAAATAACATTAGTTTTTATTTGTTATAAGTTGCTATTTATTTTATAAATGTATCTCATTTGTCAATATTTTATGACTTAATTTTAATCCTAAAGACTGATATTAATTTTGTTTCAAGGTAATGTGTAATGTTTTATGTTTAGATTTAGAGAAGTCTGGGATTCAGTCTTGAAATTCTGTGCATCTATTTGACAGACCTGGAGCAGTCACTGTTGCTGCCAAGGTTCCAGTGCAGATGCAAGAAAAAAGGGTCCTCGCGCTTTCTGTCTGTCTGATTGTGGCAGCCAAGATTGAATGGGGGAATACAGTGAAAAAAATATGATGTTCTGCTTACAACTTGACTTTGGTAGAGCAATTTTTATGAGCCTCTTTAATTAAAAAAAAATTGGAATTTTGCCCCAATTTTTTGTAAGGCTAAACCAAATCATATATGTGAAAATCCAGATACAATCTGGATTGAATCCAGAGTGCATTCCAACAGTATTTACTATTCAGTAAGGTTGAACCTTCCCCATTTCAGCTCTGCTCTTCTGTTGTCTCCCAGGCTGCTTTCTGATGGCATTTACTGAGTAGTAAATGAGTACAAGTCATCTTTGTCCCCAGAAGCAGTTGGGTTGGAGAGACCTTCATTAATTCCTAGGTCCATTCAAGCAATAGTTAGGGGGAGCTTTGCTGGAGATAGTGGTAGCAGCAGATGGTGATTCTCCGCATGCTGTCAAGTGGTAGATAACTGTGATTTGCTTTCATTATCTTTTTATAGAGAAAACATTTCTTAAACAGATAATTCTGGCAATACATGGTGCAAAGTTTGTAATCTACCCTGGGATGGGGAGTGGATACAAGAGTATTCTCTGAAGCAAAAGGTTTTGTGGAGGGATGCCTCTTCCTTGGTACCAGATTTCACCTTTAGGATGAAAGTTATCTCAGTTCAACAGGTGGCAGTGATTATAGCTGATTAATTCCAAGTATCTGTTCATATGTGGCAAGATGCAGGGGGCAAGTGAAAATAATACCAAACAAACAAAATAGTAGTTTAAAAGTGTGTGTGTATCCAACCATATACTCACACATGCAGTTTTAGCACACATGGAGTATTTCCATTCAGCCCAATGCAGTAGTATAAAGAGAGATGCATAACAAAACTGAGACTTTATAAGATCGCTCTCATTCATAAGTTAACAACCAAAGCCTCTAACCCATACCTCCCATAGCTACTGCTGCGGGCATGCCCAGGTGGCTTTCATGAGGGCATTGATGTTCCTGACTTCTACGCTTCTTGCCCTTGGACAAACAGCTGCTTGCTGGAGGACCTCTTGGTTTTAAGTAGTAATTGTTAAAGAGGTTTTCCAAAACATTGGTTTGTATTCCTCGGAATCTGAGCCTTTGAAGGACCAGTTACTAGTTACTTGATTGTGTGTGTATGCATTTATTTTTTTCAATCCCAGAGAAATTTGGATTTGTTGTGTAATACTTTGTTGTGTTTATTTTCTTACAGAAAAAGCATGCTTTACGCTGCTATTGTCAAGCCATGCAAGTCTACAAAGGAAAAGGCTGGTCTCTTGCAGAGGATCACATTAACTTCACCATTGGGCGCCAATCCTACACTCTGAGGCAGCTGGACAATGCTGTGTCTGCTTTCAGGCATATTCTAATCAACGAAAGTAAACAATCTGCGGCTCAGCAAGGGTCCTTCCTCAGAGAATATCTTTATGTTTACAAGGTGAATACATAGTTTCTGGAGTAGATATTAAAGTTTAATCACTTTTAGCAAAAAGGCTAATAGTACTATCGAGCAGGAGTCTAACAAAGTTTTATTAGAATATCTATATATGTAAAAGCTTAAGTGACCATTACATCGGTCACTATGATGCACACTATCACCAGGGGGCAGACATTCAATGCAGGAATTGCCCCCTGATGGTCAGTGCGCTATTACAGCCAACCTCCCGTGGTCCCTCCCCTCTGGCTGGCCAGCCCCGATCAGCCCCAATCTCCAGCCAAGCTGAGGGGCCCTTAGTACAGTGGTCACCAACCAGTGGTCTGCGGACCACTGTTGGTCCATGTGGTCTGAAAGGTTGGCAACCGCTGCTCTAGTATTTATGTAATTATCTTTTATAATAAAGTGTGCCAAGCTGGTTTGTGGTCATAGATTGGAGTTACATTGCTCTTCCAGAGTTCTTTAAAATATTGGCTGTGTCCAGCATGCTCCCTCATGTGAATGAGCCTAAAACCCGGGCAGTGCCCTGACTGTGAATCATATCTGGGACCTTTCTGTAGGTCGACACTCTGTCCACTGAGCCAAACCGGCTAAGGTGAAAGAGAATTTTAATATTCCAGTATATATTTTATTTGTGGCTGTTTTTAGAATCTTAAAGAAATTACATGTTTTCTGGACTGTTTCATTATTATGCTTTTGGGCTTTTAAAAAATCATAATTGATTTTATAACATATTGGGACCTCTATTTTTGCTATGGAAAATGAGGAGGTATGGGTCTGTGGGAAGTAGACCAATTGTTATGGTGGAATCCAGAAAAATGGAAGGAACAATATTTCCCTGGCACGGGAGGATAGGAAATGTAAAGCATTGTCTTATGGGGAAAATTGGAAGTTGTAACTTTTTGTAAAGTCCTGTGAAGAGTGAATACTATTGTATTTCTGTCCTGTAGGAAGTAACTGCCTTTTATGCTTTATCAACTTGAAATCATGTGGATTAAAATCTTGGCAGATAGGATGCTGTAATGAGTCACAGGAAGTAAAATGCATACCAAGATAATGTTTGGAAGTTTAGCATCCAAAGAGAGCTAACTAGCTTAATAATCTTAGAAAGACTTTCTTGGGCCAGAATAAATGATCTCTAAATTTTATAACTGATATATTAAGTAAAACTAGTAACTCTTTATTTTAATATTTGCTTAGCATGTTTTTAATACTCTTTGTATTAAAAAATGGGGAAGCAGCCCTGACTGGTGTCCCTTAATGGTTAGAATGTTGGCCTATGCACTGAAGGGTCTTAGGCTTGATTCCCAGTCAAGAGCATGTACCTGGGTTGTGGGTTCCCTTCAGGCAACCAACCAATGTGTGTCTCTCATACTGATGTTTCTGTCTTGTCCCCTTCCTCTCTCCCTTCCACACTCTGGAAAAGCTATGGAAAACATAGATCCTCAGGTGAGGATTAACAACACCAATACAAATGGGGAAGCAAATATAAAGAAATTGGAGTTTTCTCAGAAATTCTTCCTTGTTTCTTTTGTGTTTCTCTTAGAATGTAAGTCAGCTGTCACCAGACGGGCCCTTGCCGCAGCTTCCTTTGCCGTATATTCACAGTTCTGCAACCCGGGTTTTTTTTGGCCACGACCGACGACCAGCAGATGGTTAGTAACGGCTTTCTGGCCTTGTTTCCTAGTGACTATTTTTTTAAAGTTCTTTCCTCTCTCCACTTAAACTGGTGTGTTGTTGTTAAAGAATATTTGAAAAATAATTCTATACCACAACACCTATCTTTCTGCCATCTGAAGGTAATCACTGTTACATTGATTTTTCTTAGCCCTAAACTAAAAACTAACAAGTAAATAGCTATAATTATAATTGCTTTCTTATATAAAGAATGCTCCTGAAATTATAGATTCTTGATAAGCATTTTTAATGGCTGTAATATATTACATTCAATGCCTAAAATTACTTTATTTTCACATTTGCTTGTTATATAATTTGGTTGTTTCCATCTTTTTTAAAATATAAAATTATATTACAGGAGTCATCTTTCTGAATAAAACTTGTTTTCTTAACTTTTTATTATGGAAGTTTTGAAATGTACAGAACAGTTGCCCCTATTCTCTTCTTGCTGTAAGGCTTTTTAAAATATAGAATTTTTCCTAAGGATTGAGCCTTAGAATGGCAGAACTGGGCCGGAATTATAAATATAATGCATGTTAAAGTGAAGTAATTCTAAGCAGTCCTATATTTGAGCTTATATTTCTTGAGCTAATTTAGTGTTTTATTTAAAAAGTATTTATAACAGCATTGTTTTTTATAGCCAAAAATGAAACAATAGTAGCACACGAGTTGACAGATTCTGGTATTTTCATATAAAGAATTCATGTTGTAGAACATGAGTGAACATAAAGGAAACATGTTGTAGTTCTACATGTTTCAATGTAGATAATAACTAAAACAAAAGGCTGAGTGAAAAAAGTTAGAATGATAGATCAAATATAATTTCATTTATGTATTTCAAACATAAAACCAATCCTATGCATTGTTTAGTATATACCCTTAAATGGTAAAGTATATAAAAAACAAAAAGAGGATGAAGATGCTGAACTGCTCTGGAGTAACTCCAGGAGAAGTGGTGCCAGTGGAGATGAAGGGTTGAAATGCATTTCACAGATCTGTAACGTTTATTTTATAAAAAATCATTGTGGGATTATATTATATGAAAACAGTACTTTTGTTAAATTTTCATATACAGTTATTGTTACATTCTTCTTCATGGGTGGTGGTTTGTTTTTGTATGTTGGAAGTATTTTACATAAAAGTGCTGTGGAAGACAAGAGAAACTATATCCTTTCAAGTCAGGAGGAAAAGACCAGCGGAGTTCCAGGGAGGCGAGGGTTAATAAGAGGGTATTTTTTCTCTTGCATAATTGGAAATAGGCAAGAGTGGGTGTGTATATGTATTTTTTTTGGATAACTTAGATTTTTATTTAAAGTGTTTCATTTGTGTGTGGTTAGTAATAAGCATGTATACTTAATTTTGATACTTATTTTTTTAGGTGAAAAGCAAGCAGCTACTCATATAAGTCTTGATCAAGAATATGACAATGAATCCTCTCAGCAGTGGCGAGAACTTGAGGAACAAGTTGTGGCCTTGGTTAACAAAGGAGTAATTCCACCCAATTTCCATCCCACGCAATACTGTTTGAATAGTTTTTCAGATAACTCAAGATTCCCCCTTGCAGTAGTAGAAGGTAATATACTGGAATTTTTACACATGGTTTTTTGTTTGTTTTACATACAATGTAATGTTTTGTATGCCCCAAGCCACCAGAAGCTGAGGATGCAAAAATTAAGTCCGGAACTCAGAATTTAGAGAGCTGCATTTATAAAAGCAGGCGGTGGGGCCCTAAAGTAGGAAGATGCAAAGTGCTGTGAGAACGCCGCCTCTAGTACAGAGAAACGGAGGCGCTGCTTCTGAGGAGGCAGTTCTAAAACTGAATTTACAGGTTGATAAAGGATAGTCTAGGCAGAAATCCAGAGCTAGGAAACAAGGCGTCTTCAGAGAACTTATACACAAGAGGAAATATAGGACTATTGAAGGTACTGACTGAGGCATTTCTTTTATAGAACCCATAACAGTGGAAGTGGCTTTTAGAAATCCTTTGAAGGTTCCACTTTTGTTGACTGATTTGTCATTGCTCTGGAAGTTTCAGCCTAAAGATTCCAGTGGAAGGAATGATGAAGAAGTTAAAGAACTAGTAAGTTATTAAAAGGTATTTGTAATAAGTTTATTTCAGAGATAGCATAACAGATGCTGTAAAAACACTTTAACTTCTCTGTTTAGTGAACTGTACTTATTCTCTTAGGCTTTTCTCCTTAGTTATAGAAAGTATGTTAAATACTTTTGAAAACTGAAAATGCAGAAGAATATAAGGAATAAAAATAAAAGTCTTCTCAGTATTTAGAAATAACCATTCTAGCACTTCCCTGTATATTCAATAACTTACATTTGTATTTTCCCCTCACATAAGGGATTTTTTTCATATATATTGTTTTTTCATTCTCTGTTGGTTTATTTGCAATTGTAATTTTAAAATGTTCTATTTCATTTGTGCATAATCATCATATGAATGATCTATAAGTCATTTCATCTCTCTATTGGTAGTTATTTTGGAAGTTGCCATTTGTTTACTATTAATCATTTGTGAAAATTTGGGTGCATAGTGTTTTTTATAATGATTATTTCTGTAGGAAAGATTCCTAGGCATGAATTAGAACATTTTAGGGAATATTTTAATATTTTATTGGTTTCTCAAAAGATTATACCGAGTTTCTCACCAGCACAACATGGGGTTTGGTATCTCATCTTTGTAACATAAAATCTTATTTAAAAAAAAAAATCTTGAGTTGATAGGTTAAAAAATGCCATCTTATAGTATTTTATATTTCATCTTGATGGATAGTAAAGTTGAAATTCTTATATTTGTATTTCTTTTTGTTTGAATTATATTTATTTTTTACTATGTCATAAGCTCTCTCTCTATATATTTTATTTTATTTTATTTATTTTATTGTTTAAGGCAGTGGTTCTCGACCTTTCTAATGCCGTGACCCTTTAATACAGTTCCTCATGTTGTGGTGACCCCAACCATAAAATTATTTTTGTTGCTACTTCATAACTGTAATTTTGCTACTGTGATGAATCGGAATGTAAATATCTGTGTTTTCTGATGGTCTGAGGCTCTACAGCAGCGGTTCTCAACCTGAGTAGTGACCCACAGGCTGAGAACCGCTAGCAGCATTGCTAGCAGGAAAACACAGATATTTACATTACCTAGGCTGCATCTTGGTTTCTTTGAATCTGTCATTACTTTTCTTATGTGTAATTAACCAACTTGGGAAAAGGTGCTGGTTAGAATGAAAGGAAGAAATTGCTCTTATTGCAAGATTAAATTAAATGGCCATTTTGGCCATTGTTGATAATTAGCAGCTGAATTTTATCTCTTGAGGTTTAACCTCTTGGTGGCTGCAACGTTCACTTACTGTCCTTAGTTGAGCTGTACTGAATTAAATGGGGGGAAAAACAAGTGCCCACTACTGAATGGCTTTACTGCTGTCGTAAGTGCATATTGCTTAGCACTTAGTAAAAACCTAGTAAATACTAACTATAATTATTGTTATTGTTCTTAGTGTTGATACATGGGAATGTTAATAATTGATAACTTTATTAGATTCATATTTTACACAATAATTTATTTTTTAGGTAACAAGTGAACCCGAAATGATTGGAACTGAAGTTATTTCAGAATTCTTAATTAACAGTGAAGAATCTAAAGTGGTAATTTGATTATTTTTCAGTCTTAAGCCTTTCTGAAAGCAAGATGAAAACTTTCTAAAAAATCAGTTTATTCAGTTTGCTTTAGGTCCTGTTTTCTTAAAACTAGAATTTGGAAGATTAGGATACTGGGCTTGCACAGGAGGAAATTGGTGGGAAAAATAGGTTTGCAGTGGTCGTTGGTTAGTTATTTTCTAAGGAGCCTGGTGAAAAGTTTTTGCTTTTTTCTTGCAGTCAGTATATTTGGTTGACCAGAAGATTTCATTCATTCTTTTTTAGATTTATTTATTTATTTATTTATTTATTTATTTATTTATTTATTTATTTATTTTAGATTTCATTCTTATTAAAAGTATTGATGAGGATCCAGGCCTTTGTTGAATTTAGAGACTTTCTTTTGAAGAAAATGTCTTCTAATAACAAATATTAGTTGATAATTTAAAAGTTTAGGTCATGGGTTTATATTTTCTGCAACATTACAGAATTTGGTAGGATGCTGTTTTAAGATACTGTGAGAACAGATAATGAGAGTGACTTAAATATCTCCGCAGGCCAGACTAAAGCTCTTTCCCCATCACATAGGGGAGCTGCACGTTCTGGGAATTGTTTATAATCTGGGCACTGTTCAGGGCTCCACGACAGTCGATGGCATCGGTGCTCTTCCTGGATGTCACACAGGTAAAGCTATGACATCACTCAACAGTTAGGAAACTAGTCCTTAATTCAGTCTCTATTGAATAAAATGAATAAAAGTGAGGCATTTAAAAAATAGGTTTAATGTTCTTTTAATCCAGCATTAGGCAGATGGAAGAATGAATAATTTGGGTTTAAACTCTGTTATTTCTTTAGAAATAAACTTTATTCCCTTCTAATGTATTTTCTTTTGATAATCTTTAGGTTCTACCATATGTATTTCTCTTTTCTGTTACTGATTCAAGCTTAATAAAGTCTGACCAAATATATTCAAACCATTGAGATTTCTGCTGCCAATACAAAAATCATCTTAGCATATTCTATTTTTGAATGTTTACCAAATTAAAGAGCAGTGTTTTCATATCATTGGATAATAAATACCTTAAATTCTGTCATCTCTCCTATGAAGAAAGTAGGATTTTAGTGTTAAGGTGATATTTTTGGTGTCCCAGATGATGTTTTACAAATTTTAGAAGAGTAAAACTCTAGGATACATATTTAACAGTTGACTTTTTTCTTTAAACTTAGGGAATACTTCTATATCTAATATTATCTTGTAATTGTTATATATAGTTACATAAGTTGACAGGATGCTGCACAGTTTACTGTAAAATCCCTTCTTTTGGCACTTCACTTTAGTAGATAAGGCTTATTTTTTAAAAACAGACTTGAATTTAGATACAAATGATTTTTGTACAAAGTGAACAGAAATGAAATGAATCTATTAGAATTCAAAATTAAAAACAAAAGATTTACACTGAAGTTGAGTATGGTATTCTGCATTTTAGTACTACATTTTTATTTCTTGGTTGACAGGCAGGAAACATTTATAAGTAATCTTCCTAATTCATTGCACATTTTAAGTAAGCTGAGTGTTAAAAATTTTAAGATCTTTTTCTTTCCCACTTGTATATACTAGATTTTAATCTAATACCAGTAAGATGGTTTTCAATAAACTATAAATCATTGTTTCATTTATGGTATGAAATATATTTATTAACTAGAGGCCCAGTGCATGAAAATTCATGCACTCGGATGGGGGGCGGAGAAGAATCCACGTGCCAGCTTAGACCTACTCCCTGGGGAATCGGGCCTAAGCTGGCAGTCAGACTTCCCTCTGGCAGCCTGGGAGCTCTCGGGATGTCCAACTGACGGCTTAGGCCCGCATCGTTAGCACTCCTGAGGAGGCTCTTGCCACCACCGCTGCGCTTGCTGCTGTCAGCCCAGCTTGTGGCTGAGCGGAGCTTCCCCCCCTGTGGGAGCTCACTGATCACTAGGGGGGAACTCCTGCATTGATCATCTGCCTCCTGGGGGTCAGAGTGCATCATAGTGACTGGTTGTTCCTAGTCGTTCTGCTGTTAGGGTCAATTTGCATATTACCCTTTTATTATATAGAATAGTATAATTTATACTAGAGACCTGATGCATGGATTCATACACTGATGGTGGGCATGGCCAGTTAGCCAAGTGACTGTAGACCCTCCATCTGAATGGCTGCTCCAGCTGTGGGAGCAACCGCTCATCCCAGACAGCAGAGTGGGAGCGGACTGACCACCAGGGAGCAGCTCTTGCAGTGAGCGTCTGCCCCCTGGTGGTCATGTGTGACATAGTGACTGATCATTCTGGTCATTGTGCAGTTCGGTCACTGGGCTTTATATAAATAGATGTTATTTTAGGGAGTTAATGAGGACAGGCCCTAAATTAATTATTGAAATAAGTTACATCTTGTAAGCAGAATTATCATGATTTAGTGTAGTTTATTATGTAAAATGCTAATAGGGATCTAGATCAAACATAGTATGGGAAATGCTACATTTTATGTCTGCTCTGGGAATATTACAGTGATCATCTGAACATTAAAGGCTCTGAGTAATCCTGCGGGAAAGATAGTTTAATATCCTTGACTTTTTTTCACTGTGTCGAAGCTTTTGGGGGATAATCCTCACATGAATATTAAATGCGTTTACTTTTCTTTGTACAATCTATTGAGACAATGTAGTTATCCAGAAATATTAGTATGTGCATTTACTATCAGTATTTATGTTAGTTTACTTACATGTTTGAATATGAGTAAAAGTGAAAAGTTGATCTCTTCAATATTTTGGAATTTTTTCCCTTTGAGAATAGATTTTTTTAAAAGATGTTATTCTTGCTGAAACTGGTTTGGCTCAGTGGATAGAGCATCAGCCTGCGGACTGAAAGGTCCCGGGTTCGATTCTGGTCAAGGGCATGTACATTGGTTGCTGGCACATCCCAATAGGGGGTGTGCAGGAGGCAGCTGGTTGATGTTTCTCTCTCATCGATGTTTCTGGCTCTCTATCCCTCTCTCTTCCTCTCTGTAAAAAATTAATTTAAAAAATATATTTAAAAAAAAAAAAGATGCATTGTTCTCATACCTTTATTTTTATTGATTTCAGAGAGGAAGGGAAAGGTAGAGATAGAAACACCAGTGATGAGAGAGCATCATTCATCAGCTTCCTCCTGCACACCCTACACTGAGGATCAAGCCTTTGATTGGACATGTGCCTTTGACTGGAATCAAACCTCAGACCCTTCATTCAGCAGGCCAACACTATCCACTGGCCAAAGTGGCAAGGTTGAGAATGGATCTTTTTTATATTCTGGTCCTAACACTGCCATTCTCTTCGATAGAATTTTTTGGATAATAGCCATTATGGTTAAATACAGGTTTCAAAAATACAGGTTCCTATTTAGTGATAGGCAGTTGTTTTGCAAAGTAATAAAATCCTAATAAGATGAATAATTAAGCATCATAAAATAGGTATAATCAAAATGAAAATAAAGCATAATTCTTTGATGATTCATGCTTGTCAATAGTCTAGAATTTTTTGAGAAATAATCTGAAACTTAGAGTATTCATATATTCAGGCTAAACTGGTAATAACATACCAAGTTTGTTAGGACATTGATTGTTTTTTATTTCAGGGAAACATTCCTTGAGCATGTCAGTTCGAGGGAGACAAGATTTAGAAATTCAAGGTCCTCGACTTAACAGCACAAAAGAAGAGAAAACATCTATAACATATGGTCCTGATCGACGATTAGATCCTATAATTGTTGAGGAAATGCCACTGTTGGAGGTATTTCACTTTTTAAAAATTTGTGAATTATTTATAAATTCAGATTATACTTTGAATTAATTTTAGGCTTTGAGGTTATTAATACAGTGATCTTTTAAAATTATTATTAAGATAGGATTAATCTAATTCACAAAGATAAAGGTAATCATGCAACTTGGCATTAAGTCACAGCCTGGTTATGAAATATTACCCTCAAAATATGTATGGAAATTAGAAAAACTTCTAAAAGAACAGTTTTGTTCATAAAATCAGTGGCTTTTTTTTTTTTTTTTTTGTAAAGATACAAAAATATGGGAATGCTGTAAAAATTTAAAGTAATCTGAATAAAAAGCTACATTCCCTTCACCTTGTTTGTATCTCCACCCACTTCTGCATTCATGCCTAGGAGTTCAAGGTCTTTTAATTGCAGAAAACTCACTGATGCTAGTTTGCAGAAGCCAAAAAAGAGAAAACATTTAGTTGAAGGGTATTTGGTATCTGACAACTAAAGAATTATGGACTAATAAGTCCCAAAGAAAAATAAGGTCTCAGCAGCTCCAGGGAATGTAGCAGTAAATGTTTGTAAACCTTTTAAAAGTATTGCTATGATATGGCCTTAGTCTTATAACTTAAAGTTTCCGTGCCACTTTAATACAAGTTTCAAATTTCGGCGAGAAAATTCTGGCCTACCTTGGATCAGGTGTCTCTACCTGTGAGGCAGAACAAATGCAGTCCGATTGGCTGGACCTCAGCAGCAAGCTAACCTACCGGTCTGAGTGTCTGCCCCCTGGTGGTCTGTGTGTATCATAGTGACTTGTCGTGTGGTCGACTGAACAGTTGACCAATTGGTTGGACACTCAGCATATTACGCTTTTTTTAAAAAATATATATTTTATTGATTTTTTACAGAGAGGAAGAGAGAGGGATAGAGAGTTAGAAACATCAATGAGAGAGAATCATCGATCAGCTGCCTCTTGCACACCCTGCTGGGGATGTGCCCACAACCCAGGTACATGCCCTTGACTAGAATTGAACCTGAGCTCTTTCAGTCCGCAGGCTGACGCTCTATCCACTGAGCCAAACCGGTTTCGGCCAATAATACACTAAATGGGAAAAGCTATATAAAGCCTACATTAGTCAAGTTCAGCTTTTGCTTCCATGTGAGTTTCTGAAAGTTTGAGGTTCTTCGTACTAGTATCTTTTCATTTTAATGATGTATAAACGAGCTATTTTTCAAGTTGATATTGATAAGGACTTTTTGACATAATTATTTAATTAATACAAACATATTAAATTACTTTTGACTTCTCTTTTCTATAATCTACAGAGCTGTGAAGATTTTGCCAGTAACCCTCTGTTAGGGACATTTTCCCTTTAATTCTTAACTGAAGTCTGCTCCTGAGTAACATTGGTTTCTATCTCTTTTTTTTTCTTTATTTTTTATTTTTTATTATTATCTCTTGGTTTGTATCTCTTTTCTAAAATGGAGTTGTTAAGTGCCACATATTCAGAGAGATATCAAAGAGAATAAAATACTTGCAAACTTTCAGTAAAGAATACAGCATCTTAAAGTGTCATTCATTCACTAGGGGTCAACATTGTTAACAGACAATATAATACTATTTTTTCCCTCCAATGCAGGTGTTCTTTATACATTTCCCTACAGGGCTCCTCTGTGGAGAAATCCGAAAAGCATATGTAGAGTTTGTCAATGTCAGCAAATGTCCTCTGACTGGATTGAAGGTTGTTTCTAAACGTCCAGAGTTCTTTACCTTTGGCGGCAACACGACTGCTCTGACACCACTAAGCCCCTCAGCTTCTGAGAACTGCAGTGCTTACAAGACTGTGGTGACAGAGTCTGCCTCTGTGTGTGCAGCGCTCACCTCCGCAGCGTCTGCGGTGGGCTTTGGCCTCGGCACAGGAAGTCAGCCCGAGGTGATTCCTGTGCCCCTGCCGGACCCTGTTCTTCTGCCTGGAGCTTCAGTGCAGCTGCCGCTGTGGCTACGCGGGCCGGATGAAGAAGGTGTCCATGAGATTAACTTTCTGTTTTACTACGAAAGTGTTAAAAAGCTGCCCAGAATACGGTGAGCATTAGGAAACTTGTGTTTAATCTTTTCGTTTAATATATGTGTACAAATTCAAATAAACATGTTGATATTTGCTAACTTCTACAGGATGTTTATATGTAGGCTGTTCCTAATATAGTGAGCTATAAATTCTAAGTGGCCAAAAGTAGAAAAAAGTTAAGCTACATTAATCTTTTTAAAAAAATATATTTTTATTGAATCAGAGAAGAAGAGCGAGAGAGAAAAAAACATCAACGATGAGAGAGAACATTGATTAGCTGCCTCCAGCATGCCCCCTATCGAGGAAGAGCCCTCAACGCAGATATGTGACCTGGTTCATACGTCAGTGCTCAACCTCTGAGCAAACCAGCCAGACTAGCACAGTCTTTTTAGTGGCTTTCCTATTTATAAACTTTATGATTCTTTAATAAAACTAATTTTTTTGGTTAGAGTTATCACCTAATAATGAAGTTCACAAGTATCATTTGTATATGAAGACAACATGCTTGCAGTCATTGTGTTTTAAGAAAATTATTTTAACTTTTTTTTTCCCTTGTGCCCTCTCCTGCTCCACAAGAATGTATAAAAAAAAGTATGTATGTGCTTGACAGATGATTGGGGTGATGTCTTACTGGAGCTCACTGAAGAAACTAAACCTGTCTCTGACAAGGACTGTGGCCTGTCCTATAACATAGCAGAATATTTTCCTGATTTTTATAAAGTTAACGAGGAGCGATTATGCTACATTTATTTGATAGAGTATTTAAAATAGCTCATAAGACTCTGAGGAGAAATAATACAGTATTTGTAAGCATAAGGACATTTTATTATAGATCCTCATTCAGTGCTGATTCTCCTCCAGAAGAGGTTAGAGAATGCTCTGGCCAAGACAACAGAGAAGGCCTTAGGAATGGAGTAGAGATGAAATGAGCTTCCAAGGAAAGTGAAGACTTCAAAATTTGCTTATCAAGGAGGATAGGCAAGAGTGTAGTGAGTCTCCCAGGACTCTGTGTATGAAGATTTACAGGATTTACAACCTGGAGGAGGTAGTTTGCCCACAGTGTAAAACATCAATAAGCCCCATGGAAAGCCTTATTGTGGAGGCTTCGAGTGACAGGTGAAAGGGTGGCTGGCGTTGACGCGGTAGGTAGTTTCTTTGGAGCTGCCATCACAGAGAGGCATGGTCTGGACACGACTACAGAAGATGGTTCCCTAAGTCAGACTAACAGTTCCCTCCAAATGAGAACTGATTGAACTGAAGGCCAACTAGGTAATTTTACTTCATTATATATATGCTTTTTAAGTAAGTGATTCTGAAAGTGATGAGGTTTTAAAAGCTTTCTTTGGAATTAGAGAATCGCACATAGAAAGAGGCTTTTAGATTAAATTTGCAGTTCTTTGTTTCTTCAGTCACAGGATATTAAGACACACAGCAGTTATTTGCACCAGCCGATCTCTGAACGTACGTGCCACTGTCTGCAGGAGTAATTCTCTTGAAGATGAGGAGGGCAGAGGAGGCAATATGCTAGTCTTTGTGGATGTGGAAAACATCAATACTGTAAGTTGGTTTAAAACTAAATTTTGTTTTTAATTCGATTTGAAGTATTTCCTTTGTTTTTAGTAATGGATATTTTTCCGTTCACAAGAGCAGAGTATGAAAACATACTAATTTTCCATTAGCTTTATAATTTTAAGTCTCTAAATAAAAAGATCTGGTGACATAAATATGGTACATTTGCACATGAAAATGTAGCCTCATATGCTAGTAATTCAACCCAAAAGAGATCTCTCCATTGAGAATCTCTTTTGTAATTAAATTTATAAAGCTGTTAGGATTTCACATTCAGTATTGATGTGATAATCTTTCACATACTTTTCTGACAGTACAATTTCCTTTATATAAAGTTTTTTAAACATTTTACAATTTCTGTTTATGTACTCAAAATATAAAAATAAGTATTCTTAAAAAGAAATGCAATCTCATAATTAAAATAGGATCTGAGCTTTAGAGTGGTTCAAATACTTATTAAAATATTATTAATTCTATAATGTACTTTGCTTTTAGCTTCATAAGTTTGTAAGGGCACTTCTTTTTATGATATTTAGGGTTAATGCACTAATACTTTGATGACCCCCTTCCCCCTAAAAAAAAAAAAAATTAATAATTGAAAGTAAGAAAATTTTAATTTTTATATTGGCTTTTATTCAAAAGAATAAAAACATATGTGGTTTAAATAACTATTTATATTGGGATTCTGTTTTATTAGTTGTGTTTTTTCTTTATTTATTTATCATTTTATTTATTTTTAAAATTCTTTATTGTTGAAAGTTTTACATATGTCTCCTTTTTCCTATTGACCTCTTCCCGTTTGCTCCCGCCCTCTAGCACATACCCCCCTATTGTCTGTGTCCATTGGTCATGCTTATTGTTTTGTAGGTTTTTAAAAAATATATATATTTTATTGATTTTTTACAAAGAGGAAGAGAGAGGGATAGAGAGAGTTAGAAACATTGATGAGAGAGAATTATTGATCAACTGCCTCTTGCACACCCCCTACTGGGGATGTGCCTGCAACTAAGGTACATGCCCTTGACTGGAATCGAACCCTGGACCTTTCAGTCCTCAGGCCAATGCTCTATCCACTGATCCAAACCGGTTTCGGCTGTTTTGTAGTTTTTTGTTCTTTTTTTTTTTTTTTTTTTTTTTTCCTTAATGGGAATGGGTTATATCAGAAAGATCAGAAGAAATAAAATAATGACATAGTTTTGATTAAAAATTGAGAACAAATAATTGTCTATCAAACACCACTAGTAACTCATTATGCATACTTTTAGTGTTTTTAAAATTTGCCACTAGGAATACATTATAAACATTTCTTAGATGCAATATTGGTTTGTCTATTTTAAGAATGTTAAAGGAATTTAAATAACACTTTCTGAAATGTGTATCGTTAATTTATTTTAAAATAAAATTTTCATCTTATGTTAATCTTTGGTATCAGTGTTTGAATATTGTTTTCATTAGAATACGTTAGTGCTCCTAAATCCTGAATGATTCTGTCATTTCTTTTTGATAGAGTGAAGCAGGTGTTAAGGAATTCCATATAGTACAAGTATCAAGTAGTAGCAAACACTGGAAGCTACAGAAATCTGTAAATCTCTCTGAAAACAAAGGTTTGTGCCTTTTCCCCTATTCATAGTAAATTCTGACATATCTTCAGTGATTGACTTTTTCCCCCCTAGAATAGTACCATAATATGGTACCTTCCTTAAAACTGATTATATTAAGCATTAAATTGTGCCTTCATTAGTTTATGTGACTATAAATCAAATTCCTTTGTAATCTTTTCCATCTTCCATCTTTTTCTCTTCAAGATCTATTTGCATTATTTTTTATTCACTTGTAAAATTGGTACCCTGATACACGGTCACTGTCAAAATTTCAAACAGTTCAGAAACTTATAGACTAGAATATGGAAGTTTTTTTTGCCATCAGAAGGCTGGGTTTTCTTTTTTCTTTTTCTTTTTAAAAATATATTTTATTGATTTTTTACAGGGAGGAAGAGAGTTAGAAACATAGATGAGAGAGAATCGTCAATCAGCTGCCTCTTGCACACCCCTTACTGGGGATGTGCCCACAACAAAGGTACATGCCCTTGACTGGAATCGAACCTGGTCCTAAGGCCGATGCTCTATCCACTGAGCCAAACCGGTTTCGGCTGGGTTTTCTGAATATAACCATGCCTATGTACTCACTGACTCTTCTGTGTATTTCTATATCTATATAACATTTAAAAAAAAAAAAAAAAAAAAGAGTATGCATACTTGTGATATATATTGACAAATTGTTTTCCAGAATATTTCTATCAGTTTATCACCCTGCCAGTAACAAGAGAGTACCTAGTAGAGTGGAGTGAAGCTGGAAAAATGATAATTGCTCCTTCTGGACATGAATTGTATGATACATATTCAAAAAATATTAAAAAAGGTTTAAATCCTTAGCCTCAGGGTTATCCTTGTTTTAATTCCTTATATAAAGGAATTAACTTAAAATAAGGGAAACCCATATAGGTTTATTGCAAGATTTATGCTCACTAGGGAAAAATTCAGTGTAGCTGTAATATAAATTAAGCTGCAACTAAAACTATTGTAATTAAAATATATTAGAATTTAGAGGTGTTTGCACTGGTGAAAAAATTCTAGCAAATTATGTACATATAAGAATGTTGGTATAAATTAGGCATATTCTGAAGAAACTAGAGGGCTGCTGCATGAAATTCATGCAAGGGTCTTGGTTCTTACAGCTGTGATGGCTGCCTCGACCTTCACAGCCCCAGCTTAGTCCAGAAGGTCGTTCGGCTGTCTGGTCTAATTAGCATATTATGCTTTTATTATTATAAATACTGAATGGAAATGAAGTAATGGTAGAGTGGTGGGATTTTAGACTTCCTAGCCCAAAAGTCCTAATCTTTCAAACTTTCTATCTATACTGCCATTTATACATGAGTGGCCAGAATATTATTATCTCTGAATGCATAATAATCTGGCCACTCAGTGTGTGTGTATGTGTATGTATGTGTGCGGTGCATGGACCGGTGCATGAATTTGTGCATAGGTGGGGGTCCAGCCAGCTTGGCCAGGGGGAGGGGACATGGGCGGTTGGCTGGCCTGCCTGCTGGTTGAACTCCTTGTCAAGGGGACAGTTTGCATATTAGCCTTTTATAATATAGGATATACGCTGAGTGGCCAGATTATGTGTTCAGAGATCATATTATCTGGCCACTCAGTGTATATATAGACAGACAGACATATGAACATGTATTTCAAGAAAATTTAATTTTATCCTTTTAAAGAGCTGAGTGAGATTTAGTTTGAGATGAAAGCAAAGACATTTTTCCTTAAACATCTTATGTAATAAAAGCCTAGTGACCAAAACGGTAGAATGACCAGAGAACCAGAATGACCACAGCTCCTTACTCCAGCTAGTCCCGCCCCCAGAGAGTGGTTAGGGTGATTAGGCAGGCAGGCAGAGGTGGTCAGGGATGATCATGCAGGAAGGTGAGTGGTTAGAGGCTATCAGGAAGATAGGCAGAGGTGTTTAGGAGCGACCAGGCAGGCAGACAAGCAGTTAGGAGCCAGTGGCCCCAGATTGCGACTGCTGGCTTAGGCCCACCGGCGGGCCTAAAAGAGCAGTCAGACATCCCCCAAAAGGTCCCAGATTGTGAGAGGGTACAGGCTGGACTGAGGGACACCCCCCATACATAAATTTTGTGCATTGGGCCTCTCGTCTATATATGTAAAAGCCTAAGTGACTGGCCGACTGGTCGCTATGATGCACACTGACCACCAGGGGACACTCAGTGCAGGAGCTTCCCCCTGGTGGTCATTGTGCTCCCACAGCCAATTTCCCACGTGTAGCTAATCTCCTGTGGTCCCTACCCCACTCCTGCCTCCCCCTCCTCCCCAGTCAGCCAACCTCCTGCAGCCCCTCCCCCCAGCTGGCTGGCCCCAATGGCCCCGATTGGAACCTCCTGTGGCTCTTCCTCCAGCCAACCTTCTGAGGCCCCCATTGGCCCAATGGCCAGCAAGGCCGAGGGACCTCACCCATGCATGAACTCATGCACTGGGCCTCTAGTTATTTATAATTATGAATTATTTTCCAATTTGACTGAGGAAATCTGAATAATGAATTGCTTTCCGCGTGTCATAAACTGAGAACGATCTTTGAAATTTTCTTTTCTTCCTAGATGCCAAACTTGGCAGTAGGGAAAAAGGAAAGTTTTGCTTCAAGGCAATACGATGTAAGGAAGAAGAAGGTAAATTCATTTTACTTTAATCCTTCTTTGCGGTCATTTTATATTTCATGCCAGTGATATCATTAGGCTTTCTCCCTCTGTTTTTCAGTTGCCACACGGTCCTCAGAAAAATATATCTTTGCAGATATCATCTTTGGAAATGAACAGGTATGCAAATAAACACAGAGGCATTTGATTTTTTTTAAAAATAATTTTCTTTTTTATTGTCTAAAGTTTTACATAGTAGCATTTGATTTTAAAAGTCACAGGTCTCAAAAAATAATAATAACAATAAAAGTCACAGTTTTGGAACATCTGCCTCTTTTGGCAAAACTATTGCTTAGTAATCCCCACATTCTTTGGTGGTGAACTTGTCAACTTTGTTGGGTTTTACAACTTGACTTCATGTCCCAAAACAGACCAAAAATGCTATAAGGGTTATACCATTTTAATCAATTACTTAAAATTAACTTTCTTTTAAGAGTATCATGAAATAAGTATAGTTCTTGGGGGGGCGGGGACGGGAGGAGAGAGAGAGAGAGAGAGAAAGAGAAGAGAGAGAGAAGTGAAGAGAGAAACAGGATTATATGAAGGAACCTGTCTACTAGAGAAAGTGGTCACAGTGGAACATAAAGATACTTCTCTGGATTTTGGTTACCATATGGTTCTGAGACCCAAATAATGAACTCTTATGATTTTACATGTATTATTGTCTCGAGCAGCGATACTCCCAACTTCATTATTTGTAAGAATTCCCTAGAGTAGTAGCTTTCAAACTTTCAAAATGTGCATATGAGTCAGCTGGGATGTAAAATGCAGATTCTGATGTAGCAGGACTGGAGTGAGCTTGAGAGTCTATATTATTATGCTGGAGGCCCAGTACATGAAATTCATGCACTCAGGTGGGAGGGGCGTGAGGGTGGAAGGGTGCCCTCAGCCCAGCCTGCGCCCTCTCGCAGTCGGGAGCCCTCAGGGGGCGTGGGCCTGAGCTGGCAGTTGGCATCCTTAGAGTTGCCATGGAGGCGGGAGAGGCTCTCACCACTGCACTAGCTCACCAGCCGTGAGCCGGCTTCCAGCTGAGTGTGGCTCCCCTGTGGGAGCACTGACCACCGCGGAAGCCCCTGCATTGAGTGTCTGCCCCCGGTGGTCTGTGCATCATAGCGACAGGACATTCCACCATTCAGTCGATTTGCATGTTAGCCTTTTATCATATAGGAAGCTGCCAGGTGATCTTGAGGTTATCAGTCTGCAGACCCTGTTTTTGACTTAGAGAATTTTATAAAAATGAGAGCTTTGCCTTTCTGCCTCTAAAGCTCCGTTTCCTTATGTCTCCGGTGGAGATTGGGAATATGCATTTTCAGCCAGCCCTGCAGATAATCTGAAGAAGTGATCTGGGGATCTGCTTCTAAAAAGTTCTGGACTAAGGATGTGAAATTCTATGTTGTTGTATGCTGTTATTGGCATTATTTTTTCTTTGTGTTTTTTTCCTTGATAATTCTAAACATCCTTTTACTTTTTTTTTTGTATTTCTCTTATTTGCCCTCACTGACTTACTCTTTGTGACTGTCTTTTGACATTTTGAGGAAACAGCTATTTAGAAATAGCTCAGAGCACCAAAACCCCAATAATTCTAAAGCGAGGATGACTTTTGGAGCTACGTGCTTCCCAAATGGTTGAATTTAGCTTTCAGGAATTCAGTTCCTTTGTTTGGTTCATTTTTTAATTTAAAATACCTAGAAACATCACCACAACTCTTAAATTATATTCAGGTTGAAATCGTTATTTTGTTACTGAATAGTTTTTATGGTAACATTGAAGACAGAAACAAAGCATTTCCTCTTATGATGAATCTGGTGGAGTAGAACTTACTAAGCATTGCAGATCAATGAGAAAACTATGGGACAGTAGTTTACCAGAAAAGTTCACTTCTAATGGGGACAATGTATATATTTATTAAATCTAAGGTTGGCATCTATATAATACAGCTTGTAATGCAGGAAATCTAAGAGATTTTACGAGGAAACACAGTATTCCATTATGGGAAATTTTGCAGTGCTGAGTCCATTTAAAATCCTTTTCTCATATTCTCTCCCTTCAAGTGTAAAAGCCAAATTTATACCAGAATCACTTGCATTTTGGTTGGTGGAATGTGGCCTAGTGTTCTAAGTATTTGAATGAGAAAGATTTTAATAGTAAAAAAATTTACTTTCTTTTCAACAACTTATTTTTTAATTATTTTCTTAGAGCTACTCATTCATCATGGATACTTGAAAGATCAAACCTAATGTCAGGCAGGGTAGATTAATTATTTTGAAGTAACATCTTTTAAGATTCCGGGTAATTTGTACCAGATATTTTAGGTGTTTAAGTATTAGTGTGGCCTCTCTTTAGTCAACACATTGATATGAACTTATCGAATAGCCTTTTGGGTATGTGCAAGTTATAGAAATATATGTTTGGCGGGTATATTCAATAGAAAACATTGATTAGACAAGTGATATTCTTTTAACAGATAATAAGTTCTGCAAGCCCATGTGCAGATTTCTTTTATCGAAGTTTATCCTCTGAATTAAAAAAAGTCCAGCCGTCAGAGCATATGGAAAAGCAGCCAACAGAGGACGCTGTGAGATTAATTCAGAAGTGCAGTGAGGTGGATTTGAACGTTGTCATATTGTGGAAGGTATGTGATGTTACATTATTTCAGCAAGCCTTGCTTATACATATTTGACTCTTGAGCTGAAGAACAAATGTAAACTGCTGCTTATGTTTTTCCTGCTTCAATATTCCAGTTTCAATATGAAGGTTGTTTTATAACTTCTTTAGTAGTTCCATAATGACTTTTTTTTGCCAAAAGGAAGAATTCATTCAAATCAGTCACTTTCCTCTGTGTTATTGCTATTTCCAAGTGGTGCTGAGAGTACTGTACACATGATGAGCTTCTTGGCAGCAGGTGTTAAACCCTTTACTCTTTATAAACTCTTTCCAAACACTGAAAAGGGGGAAATAGCGGCATGAACCTCTTGGTACTCATCATCCATTTGTTGCTATTCATCTTTGATAGATTCCATTTGCCTCTCTCCTTTGTTTCCTTTTATTTTTACCTTTATTTTTTGCTGTAGCACATTTAAAATTTTATTTTTATTTATTTATTTTGGAGAGAGAGAGAAATATCAGTTTGTTGTTCTATTGATGCATTCATTGGTAGATTTTTTTTAAAAAATATATTTTATTGATTTTGTACAGAGAGGAAGGGAGAGAGGTAGAGAGTCAGAAACATCGATGAGAGAGAGTCATCGATCAGCTGCCTCTTGCACACCCCCTACTGGGGATATGCCTGCAACCAAGGTACATGCTCTTGACCGGAATCGAACCCGGGACCTTTCAGTCCCCAAGCTGACGCTCTATCCATTGAGCCAAACCGGTCCCAGCATTGGTAGGTTCTTGTATGTGCTCTGACTGGGAATTGAACCTGCAGCTTTGACATTTTTCGGATGATGCTCTAACCAACTGAGCTACCCAGCTGGCCAGGGCCTGTGGCATATATATATATATATATATATATATATATATATATATATATTTATAATGACAGAATATTTTATCTGAAAATGCTGCTGCATACACTTGCAGCAGACAGAGAGTAACATAATAAGCCTGGCCTCTGGATTGGTATTCCAGTAGAGAAAAGGAGCTTGTCTCATGACTCTCTTCTGTACCAGTGCCTGAGGCGCCCCAGAGCAAATTGGAAAAGATTTCAGATGTGGCTCTGAAATGTCCGAGCCAGCTGTGCTATAGAGGCAGGCAGATTTCAGCAGATACTTCACAGACTCAGTGAATAAACAAAAGTAGAAATGCTGACAGCCGTGGGTGTTAGTAATTGATAGGTACCCTGTTTCCCCGGAAATAAGACAGCGTCTTATTTTTTATTTATTTTTGATAAACAAAACCGAGTTTATTTGTCCGTCTCTTGCATTTGAAATAACCTCGGTGACATCCTTGGCCTGAGGCTCTCTGCCATAGTCCGTAACCACCACACAACTGCAGCCAACCACTCCTCCGAGCTTTCTCTCTGTGGTTTCATCTTGGCGGCTGTATTCCCCTAGTTTCTTGTTGTCAAGGAATTAGGCTGATTTGGTGTTGGGCACAAAGGGCCTCTGCCAGCTGGGCATACAGAGGCTCCTGAGTTGGAGACAAGCACACAGAATGGGCTGAGTTGGGGCAGCCTGGAGAGTCCACACGCCATGGTGGCTGAGGGCGGTCTTCAGCGCAGAGCAGCATCAGCCCCATGACACCTCCAGCAGCAATGCCCTCAGCCATGGAGGGGGGTTAGGGATGGAGCCAAGATTTGAACGCCCCCCCTCAGCCTCACATCAGGGAGAGAGAGTTCCTGAGCTGCTTTTCAGGTTCCTGTTCAGCAGGTGACATTCTTGTGCTTTGTGTCTTAGGCCTACGTGGTGGAAGACAGTAAGCAGCTTATTCTGGAAGGTCAGCATCACGTTGTTCTTCACACTGTGGGCAAAGAAGCCTATTCGTATCCTCAGAAACAGGTACTCACAGTTCGCTTTCAGGCTTTCCTGTAAGCAGGGTCGGGGGAGGGGGTAAGGTTGTATTTTTGATGAAGTCTGCCTTATGCAAGCATTTATGTTGGGATTTGAGTTGGTGGTTAGTTGAGAAGAAAGATTAAAATTAGAAATGAACGTAAATTTCTTATAAAATTCACTAACCCCTTCCAAGAGTATTAAGATGCATTTATGGTTCCTATGGTATACTCTATTGAATCTAGAATTCATATTACATAAAGAGTTGCTTTGCTTGAGAGAACAATGTTCTATTTCCTCACTTGTAACAGGCCCACCCTGTTGTGGAATTCCAGGGGCAACTCTTAAAATGTAGCGGGCGCCCTCTGGAGTGGGGTACAGCTGGTAATAGTGTTTAATGTGTTTTCTTATTTCTGCTGAAGTACTGTTTGATCTTACCAAAAAGTTCTCATAGTATCTGTGAACAAAGTTTAAGCACATTTAGTCCAGTAATTCAAATAGTTACCTTATATTGTTTTTATAAATAATAGATCTTAATTTTCAAGCTTTACATTAAAAAGGTAAACAGATGCTATACAACGGAATGAAGATATAGCCTTACTACTAAGCACTTTCACCAGATAAGAACCAGGACTTTTGAAATTATTGTTATTATGAATCCTTTTTACATATGAGGAAATTAAGTCTTAACATATTAACTAGCTTATCTAAGATCATAGAGTTAATATGTGAAGTTGCTGGAATTCATGGAGACAGCCAGTCAATGATTCTCTCTCCTTGATGTTTTTATCTCTTTATCCCTCTCCCTTCCCTCTCTGAAACCAATAAAAATATATTAAAAACAACATTTAAGTCCAGCATATAATAAATGGGAAATGAATAAATGATTCCATATTCTGCTTTCTTTATCCTAAATTATATTGCAAATGATTCCAGCTGTTTGTTTAAATAACAGCAGAAATAGCGTCTGCTGTACTTCATTGGTTTTAACTTTGTACTCATTATAAGGAGGCAGTGCTTTTATTGTCATGTATTTTTTCAGGAGCCACCAGAAATGGAACCATTAAAATTTTTCAGGCCAGAAAACACGGCAGTTTCCTCGAGACCATCTGCAGAGCAGCTTTCCAGCCTCATTAAAACCAGTCTTCACTACCCAGAGTCACTTAGCCACCCATTTCATCAAAAAAGGTTTGAGGGTTTGTTTTTTTGTTAAAATTTTTATACAACACATGCACACTTGTTTAATTTGACAATGGCATTAACCCAAATGCTGAAGGAGAAATTTAGAATACTAGTTAATCTTTGTATTGGTGTTAGTAATTTACCCTTGACTACAGTTCTCTGTGTTGCTGCTATGGTTAAAGACGGATAGTACCTCAGCCACCTCAGTTGCCAAAAGTTTCCTTTTATTTATTTATTTATTTATTTATTTATTTTTTAAAAATATATTTTATTGATTTTTTACAGAGAGGGATAGTTAGAAACATCATTGAGAGAGATAATCATCGATCAGCTGCCTCTTGCACACCCCCCACTGGGGATGTGCCCGCAACCAAGGAATGAGCCCTTGACCGGAATCGAACCCGGGACCCTTCAGTCTGCAGACCGACACTCTATCCACTGAGCCAAACCGGTTTCCGCAAAAGTTTCCTTTTAATGAGCAGGTTTATCATTAAGTCAGAAACAAGGAAAAAATACTATATCATTTTTGTATTTGTTTTGGAGACAGAAATTAAACCCAAAGCATGAATGCAATATAGACACATCAAAACAGTTCAGATTTCAACAGTATTAATGACTTAAGATTTACCAAGTGGTGAACTTCCAGAGGAAATGAAGAGGGAGGAAGGGCAGGTTCCTAGATGTGCGGGCGAAGAATTGGCAGGAATGAATGAAGAGGAATAGGAAGCCAGGGGTGGGCGGGGCCGGCGGGCCAGGAGCCTGGCTCCCAAGGGAAGAGCGCCGGGTGCCGTGCCAACGGCGCTCCTGAGAGAGGGGTGGGGTGGGCGCGGGAGTTCAGGCTTGTGTGCTGGCATTTCCGTGACCGTGACCGACGGTTTCTCCGTTGGTCTTTGTGGCTGAGATTGTTTACTTCTGTTTTCATATTGGGGAATAACCACCTAGAAATACTCTAGTGTTTTCTGTTTTTTAAGATCAATTATAATGCCTCGAAATAAAAAGTGGTTTTGTGGATGTGTATATTCTGATATTCAGCCATTGTGTTTTTATGTTTTACTTTATATACACAATCTGTCTTTAGTGGTTTTGGGTCAGTTTTTTTCCTTCTTGAATCTAGTTGTTTTTAAGGAGCTTCTTCTCTGTAAGACCTTCCCAAGTGTCATTTACTCAGAAGTCTGTTGTAGGAACACACAGCTAGTCACCGTGTTGATTTTTCTTCCATAGCCTGTGTTTAGTGCCCGTCACCCTCTTACTTTCCAATTGTTCGAAGGCTGATGTCGATGTCATAGTGGACCTGCGGCATAAAGCAACAAGGTAACGGGTTATGTAGGGCACGGTTATTTCATAGTTTAAGGTTGGTTTGAGAGCGATTTAATATTTTGAAATTCTGCAAATAGTTACTAACATGGGTAAAGTTCACTCAGGCATGTCCTGCTTTCTTTGTGTGGGGTTGCAGAAGTATTACAAAGGGTTACGGAGGACTCTCTTAGCATAGGAGAGGGACAAAATGGGAAGCACCCCCCAAGCAGAGCAATAATTTCACCAGAGCTAAAAGTTTTACAGAAGTTTGTTGGTGAGAAGGAACTCTAAAATTGAAAACCAGCAAGATTATGATAAAAAGTGTGTGTGTGTTTTTTTTTTTTTTAAGTTTTGTTTTCCTGATTATAAATAATACTTAAAAAAAAATGCTGGTTCATACTTCCGCATCTGATATCCCAATCACTGGTGCTTTTTGGAATTCAGAAATTTGTGGATTGTTAGAAAATGTGAAACATACTCTCATTATTGTTGATTAATATCCCAGGAACAGAAGCAGCTCTCTGAAATTAAACACATTCTGTGTATGATTATTTGTATTGTAATTAAGGAACTAATGACTTATTGGTAGATACTGAGTTGCTTTCCATTTTTCAGCATTATAAACAGTTTCAATAGTATAAGCATTCTTACATACACATGGGTTTTTATGTATGGGTAGCCAGGTGGTGGTTAAAAGCTTGGGTTTGAAAATTGGCTCCATCATTTGCTAGCTGCTATTTTGAGTGTTTTTTAAATAGTTGGCTTCATAAAATTATTTCTAGAAATAAAATGGCTAGATAGAAGGGCTGTGTTAATTGGGACTTGGGGGATAAATTTATAAAGAAAAAACCCTTCAATGTATCCTCTCCCTTTTTCCTTAGTCCAGAATCATTGGAGATCCACGGATCGTTTACGTGGCTTGGACAAACTCAGTATAAGCTGCGGCTTAAAGGCGAGGAGATGCACAGCTTGCAGCTGAAAGCATGCTTTGTCCACACGGGTGTCTATAACCTTGGAACTCCGAGGGTATTTGCCAAGTTATCGGACCAAGTTACAGTGTTTGAAACAAGTCAGCAGAACTCCATGCCTGCCCTGATCATCATTGATAATGTGTGACAGCTAGTAAAGTTGTACTGAAACCCATAAGAATCAGTTTATTTTACTGACCGACTTTTGCAGCAGTATTTGAAATACCCAACTTGCTCTCGAGGTTGGTGTCGGATCACTGCAGAATACTTGTCAATTTGCTGATGATGTAAAGCACGTTGGACTGAGAAACTGATATTCTTCTTTTGTATTTCTTTAAACCTGGTAATAATTTACATGCTCATATTGCAGAATTTCAACATATCCATGCACCTTATTAAGCACCATCTTAAAAACCAGTGTCTAAGTCTGCTGTTACAACTTCCTGATGGTATGCGAAATTAGACGATTTTGAGGAAGAAAAGGCCTCGTTGGCAATACTCCTTTAAGCCTTCAGTCAAATTCCAGCTTTACTGTGAAGTTCAATAGAGTATGAAATACAAACTTTCCTGTCTTCACACGGTTCTCTAAAATCAGTTCTAAACTTTGGTTAAAAGTCATGGTTCAGTACCTGGTGGCTCCCTATGGCTTATACATAACTTTGTTAAAAAAAAAAAAAAAATTTTTTTTTCTGATGCTTTGAATAAGAGTTTGAGCTTTTTTTCCTCATTCATCTCAGCATAGTGTGCACTATTTCACAATATGAGATTTTTGTCCTTTAAATTATCATATTCTTTATTATGTAACTTTAACATTTGAGTTGATCTGTTTAAAATATAAATCTCAGTTAATAAAAATAAGCTTTTCAAAAATGTATTATATTTATAACAAATGTACTGTAAATAGAATAAAGACACACTATTCACTGTATACATTTATTAGATGGTCTTTTTTTTTTTTTTTTCTATTCTGAGGACCTAATATATTCTTTATTTAAAATGAATGCGAGCCGGGACCGGTTTGGCTCAATGGATAGAGCGTCGGCTTGGGGACTGAAGGGTCCCGGGTTCGATTCCGGTCAAGGGCATGTACCTTGGTTGCGGGCATATCCCCAGTAGGGGGTGTGCAAGAGGCAGCTGATTGATGACTCTCTCTCATCGATGTTTCTAACTCTCTATCCCTCTCTCTTCCTCTCTGTACAAAACCAATAAAATATATTTAAAAAATAAAAAAATAAAAAAAAAAAATAAAATGAATGCGAACTGTATTATGATGGCAGGTACCAGACCAGTTTCCTGAGAGCATGTTCTCCTCTCTGGTTCCAAAGTGAAGCACAGTCTGTTCCTGCAGTCCTTGCGAGCTTGTTACAGGTGAGTCTCGTCTGCCAGTGTTGTGTCCGATGCCCAGTTACAAATGAGTAATCCTCTTCTGTCCTGGAGAAAGGAAGGTCCATGCTTACGAGCCTGTTAGGAATGACCACCTTGAAGACCGGTGCTGGCTATTGCCGACGAGGCCATTTAGCTTTCCTGCTGAAGCCAAGTAAAACTTTGAACAAAGTAGAAGAAAACATCTTAACAAAGAGTGACAAATATGCCAGTTATTAGAGGACCAAATCCAGAAGGAAGTCCAGAGAGAGGAGACCACCATTAGGACCGCTTTCCTGGAGTGTTTGACCTCGTAGGAAGCAACAGCTGAGAGGCAGAGCATTGCATTGGACATACAGGAAGAAGTACAGGTCAGGAGAAATCAAACTGAAGCAAGGCGAGGAAAAGGGTGGGAAATGGGTGAAAAAAAATGAATTCAGTGAGAGATCCTACCTGCTTATTTGGAGTCCTAGAAAGAAGAGAGGATAAGGCAAAAGCAGTGTTTGAAGAGATTCTTTGAGAATTTTCCAAGATTCACATCAAATTAGAGATTCAAGTAGTTCACTAAGTTCCAAACAGTACGAATGAAAGACCTGTGTATCCAGATGCATCATGGTGACACGGTGGAAATTAAAGAAGGAAGCAGTCTTAAATACAGACGACAAAACTTACTTGAATGGTAGTAATTCAACAAATACCCGACTTCTCACCAAAAAGAATGGAAGCCAGAGATAGCAGGGTGTCCTCAGAGGATTGAAACTAGCTGCTAGTCCAGATTTCTCTACTCGGCAAGAATTCCTTTCAGAATGGAAGTGAAACTAAGATACGTTCAGACAGACAAACCCAGGGAGTTGACTTCCAGGTGGCCGCAGGACGGTGGTGTCCAAATCAAAATGTTCCATGCATTATCCAAATAAGTGCAAATCAGCTGGAAGAGCAGGTGAAACCACACCTACTCGTGCTCTCAGCATAACTGGACAGATTGTTGCCAACCTGACACCTGTCCGGGAAGCTGGGTACTGATTCCCACCTGGCTATCGGCCTCTCCTGGGAGCTTTGTGGTGAGTGGAGGAGGGGAAGACTGATCCGGAAAGATAAGAGAACTGGGGAGAAAATAAGGGAACAGAGGACTTTGGGGTGAGTTGAAGTCACTAAACACAGAAGCTGACACTGAACGTCTGAGGAGAGAGCTGGTGGAGCAGAGCTCTGGTGATAGGCAGGCGTTGGAGTCTCTGCAGCGGCAGGAGGAGGGACCATCACAGCTAAGGACACGCCTCCCGACAGGACCTCATCAGCCAGCTACTTGGACTCTGGAGTGTTTTGAGGCTTGTGCAGCCCAAACAACGTTAAATCTCAACTGGAATTCTCCCATTCAACTTTCGCACCCTTAGGCCCAATTTCCAGAAGACTCCGTGAAGTGGCACGGAGTGTATAATAGGTACCTAACAGCACACCCCAGCCCGTCTTCCAAAGGCCAGGCTTGCCAGCGGTTTGTGGAAGCAGTGCCTCCCGGGAGGAGAGGAGGCTGGTGGGGCTGCGGGAGTCGGGCAGGCTCTGAAGGGAAGTGGCAGGAAGCTGAAGAGAAACGTGGCCCATTCCATCCTTTTCCTCAGGTCACACCTGTTCGGTAAGGCTCCATCGCAGGAAACTGGGTGCCATGTCCTCTGCCCACCGCCCAGCCATGTCAAGTTTGACTGCTTTGACACTGAGTGGCATTGTCTTTGTATGTTGGGAGCCTGGGCAAGAGACAAGGGGGGGAAATGAGTGGCCAGCATAGGGCGAAGGGATGCCTCGTTCCTTCCGAAGGCGGGTTTCGTTTAGTAGGTGCACCTGTCAATAATGTGGATTTTATAATCAAAGAAAATGCGATAATTTCAAGAGAAAAGTGCTTTATTCAAAGCAATGTCCATCACTAGCTATCCATTTACCCCATCTCCCAGGTAATTGGTGGATACCGTCCCAATAGAATTTTTCTTGTTTTGAAGTAAACGATTCAGAGACCCAATTTTTCACTTCTTCGTATGTTTTGAAGTGCTGCTCAGAATGTGTGTGTGCCATCGACCAAAACAAGTGGTCATTAAAGGAGCAAGGTCTGTGAATATGTCGGGTGGGTTAATACTTCCCAGGCAAGATCTTTTAATGTGTCTTTAACTGGTTTTGAAGTGTGTGATGGTGTGTCATCATGAAGCAAAATTACTTTGCCGCCGAAACCGGTTTGGCTCAGTGGATAGAGCGTCAGCCTGTGGACTGAAAGGTTCTGGGTTCGATTCCAGTCAAGGGCATGTGTCTTGGTTGTGGGCACATCCCCAGTAGGGGGTGTGCAGGAGGCATCTGGTCGATGATTCTCTCTCATCGACGTTTCTAACTATCACTCTTCCTCTCTGTTAAAAATCAATTTAAAAAATAATTAATATATATATATATATATTTATAAGATTACTTTGCCTTGTCAATAGCACATTCTGGTCATTTCACGATCAAAGCAAAATTACTTTTTTTTTTTTTTTTTTGGTTCAAATTGATTAGTTGTTGGTAGCAATCAGCATTAACGGTTACACCTGGTTTTAGAAGCTCATACTAGACCACACCTTCCTGATCCCACCAAACGGAGAGCTTTGTTTTTTTTTATGAAGCGATTTGGCCTTGCAGTCGATGTTGGTGGTTGACCTGGATCAACCCATGATTTTGTGCGTTTGGGATTCTCAAAATAAACCCACTTTTCATTGCCAGCCACAATTCAATGCAAAAAAGACTTTCGTGCAGTTGAAGCAACATTTTGCTGATGACTTTGGTTTTCCATTTCTATTCAGTTGGTGTGGCACCCATTTTCTTTCCTTTAAAATCGTTCCCATTGCTTGTAAATGATAAGAAATTATTTGTTGAGTAATATTGACTCTGCAAGTTGTTTTTGAGTTTGACATGCAACTTCATCCAATAATGCTTGCAATTGTTGGTCTTCAGACTTTTTCGTTGACCTGGATATTCTTTGTCTTTCACATAGAAACCATCACTTTTAAAGCGTTGAAAGCAGTGTTCACAAGTATCTTGAGATGAAGCATGTTCACCATATGCTTCCTGAAATATTCAGCAGCACTTTTCTTCACAATAAAAATAAATTAAAACTTCTTGCAAATGCTTTTTTTCTTTTGGCACGAAATTTGACATTTTTAAGCATAAATATATCTATGGTGTTAACACTTCAGCAAATTTGACAAGTTTTGAAGTTTGCTGTCAATACAACAAAACAGTATACATATCAAATTGCATATATATCAACATATGGGTAACTCCATCTATTGAAAAAAAAATCCGCATTATTAACTGATAATACCTATAGTAAAACCTAACAAGTGATTTCTGAAACCACCTATGTCCACTAGAGGGCACCTGGAATACAATATTGCATCAATGCTATCTTTACAATTTGCCTTTAAAATTTTGAAATGAGCATTTTATTATGAGGTAGTATTTGGTGGAGTTGGAGTTTGCATTACACAGAGAATTAGAACCGGGCAAGTTATAATTTACCTGCCTAAGATACCAAAGAAATACCCAGGAAATACTTATTCATTAAAACAGTTGCTGACATTTCAGTAGTTTTATCTTATCCATCCAGAAAATCAAGACGATGGCTTTTCTTGAAATTTTTATATTTTAAGACAAATTTTCATTGTTCACAGTGTCATTTAATTTGTCACAAAGCAGTCTAAAATGGAGGCTCAAATAGAAAATTGTTAAATCATTTAAGCCTTTGATCAAATGTGGGTTAGAGTTCCTCTGTCCCAC